ATGCCTACCTGAAGATTATTTATGGAATCAATTTCCAAACCATTGTCCATTTTTTGATTACCGTTCTTGCGTTGTGGCTTTCTTGGACGCAAAATGTACACTAAGATACATTCCATCAAAACGAGGAATACAAACAGAAACGATCCGATAAGGTACCAGTCAATGGCCTTGGGATAACTCACACGAGGTAGCGACATGTTTACAGAGCCCAACAGAAACATGATGGTTAGTAATGTTGTGATTCCCAGGCCAACTCGGCCACCCATGTCATCTTGGTCTAACCAAAAGATTATCCAACTTATTGTAACCACAAGGACGTCTGGGAAGAAGACTTGGGTGACGTAATAACCAATGCGTCTTTTAAAGCTGAAAGTGACGCGAAGAATGCTGAATGTCCCTGCAAATTTCAGGTTAATTGCCCTGTTAATTACTGTCAAACTCAGGAAATCGTGAACACGTGAAAATTTTCAGGAATGTTGATTGCGTCACAATAGACCTTTCCCGCATTCCAGTGAACAAAGGCACCAACTCGAGGCTCGGGTGGACAAAATACAGTGATTTGTATGAAACTGTCCACCCGAGCCTCGTCCTCATTTCTTTGTGTTTGTTCACTGGAGCGTAATGCGGGAAAGGTCTATGAAGTTTAGAAAGCCAAAGCAAACCTCAAAACCCGGGGGGGGGGCACTTGGGATTTTTTGGGTGGGTATGTGCCGCCTGGGACTCCAAATTTGCACCCCGTTCTAAAAAAAAAAATTCCCCTAAAACTGATACCCCGTTCTAGAAATGGGCCAATTTTTTATACTCCGTTCTAGAAAGTTTGTAAATTGAAATAACCCTGTTTTTTAAAAAACATATTTCCTTATTTCTTCGACTTATACATGAAATAAATGCTTCTTCATAATCAGCAGCAATTTTAAGCAGAGAATAAAGCCGTGATCCACAATTTTCTATGCCCCGTTCTAGAAACGCCTCTGAAATGGATACCCCGTTCTAAATCAGGAGCTTCAAAATCACGGCACATACCCGTATAGGTAATGTATGGGAGTACACCCCCCCCCCCTCAAAACCACTAACGAAGACCCTGTTTACATGGAGTGGGGGACCCCGGTCTAGTGGGGTAGGTTTCCTTTGTTTTGTGTCCTCCAGAGCGTGAAAACAAAAGAAGCCATCCCCACTAGACCGGGGTCCCCCACTCCATGTAAACGGGCCCTTACACGGCAGCCTAGCTTTGTTAAGGTACATACGTCCTTGTCCAAGAAACCCGCTTCCACTCTAGACGTCTAAAGTCATATTATTTTCAACTAAGGATGGGTCAAATAGTTTTTTACGAACGTTTATCCGAGTTTCACGTCCTTGTTTCTGAAGACATGTAGGCACAGTAATATAACATTTCTGAATTTCTGAGTTCCAAAAACATGCACTTTCAAAACGAAGATATATTTAAGTGCAAAATCATTTGTAAAAATGAGTGTCATTTGAATGAGAATTAAAAAAAATCATTTTCTTAATTATTACTACATTCGCACTTAACCTCGCTCTGAAACAGAGGCCCTTGGGCAATCCAGAAATGGCCTTTTTTAAAATATTCGAAGATACGCTTTTGAGAACGAACAAAACCTGCAACTACTAAAGACTCTTCAAACTGCGGAAAGGTGAAGGCGTCCCAGCGATAGACAGAATACAAGAGCCCCGTGCGGTAAATGGATAGGTATCATGAGAAGAATTACTAACCGCTAATGTAAGTCACGTTTTTTGAGTTTAGCTGCACCCTCTTCATGTCAAATTGGGCGAGGCTTTTCTTTTCAACACTCACAGTATCGGCCTTCCATTTGTAGATCAAGCCTTCGGTGGTGTGGCCATCTAATGAAAAACATGGTTAAGTCTTATAGTACTTCTGTCTTATAGGAAGTGGCCTATTCATTAGTATTCATCTAAAATTGTTCGCCATTCCTAATTGGCTCAAATCCCCTCGCTTACTCTTTATAACCAGCTGTCGTTGACCAAACTTGGAAGATGGGAGCAATAAAATACGTAGCGATGGGATGGTATATTGACCAAGCAGCCTCGTTTCTAGCCAATATCCCATCGATCGTCCTCGTTTACAGGCGCTGCGGCCAAGCTGGTTCATCTTGCGAGAACTACTGAAAAAAATGGCGTTCATGGGTATCCGTGAACATTTCGAGATGCCAATTGCAAAAGCAACAACTTTACTGGGGTTAGGCAGCCATCTCTCGTCTAACAAGGGAAAAAAAATTAAAAACCTACTAAAATACATAAAGGGTGCTAAAGGATAACGAAAATTTATTCTATGGTGCAAATAGTACTTACAGCTTCCAAATATCAACATGCATTTTTGAGTGTCCATCGGAAAATTTTCCAATTTCATGTCACAAGAGGCAACAATCTTGACCCTAAATACACAGAAAAATGTTTTGGAGGTTAAAGAAATACATGCCACCATCCGCCCTTTTTTCGCGATACGGCCAGTTTAAGCCGGGGTAGTAGCTATGGGTTTTGCTGTTATTTCTCAAAGGTTAGACATAATAGTAAACATGTGAGGAGATCTCAAAATAGCCAACTGATGTTGACTACATATGGACTTTCATAAAATTTCAGATCTATGCTAATAGTTTAGAAAGTATTAGCTTGCGATTAAGTCCCCAGAGACCATATATCGGGAGGGAGGGTGGGGGGAAGAGTTAACGAAAAAGGTTAAAGAATTTAAATTCCAACCGCAGTGAACCCCATGGCTACCGTTGCCTTAGCATTTTAGATTCCTTTTCCATTATCTATACCCCCTCCACCCCTTGTCGCTCGCAGGCTAAGAAAATAAGCATATTTGACATGCTTGATATCTGTAAGTCTTGTCTATAACTAAGCATTATGCCAGTTATTTTGCCATACTCTGTTTTCCTTTTTGGGTGAAAATGAAATTTGACAAAACTGGCTTGACTTGGTACCATTGACATGACGTCAGACATTACAGCAACTACTGTCAATAAGCGTTGAAAGGGGCTTTCTTGGTGAAAATCATTTCCAGCTCCTCAGGAGTGATGGGTGTGGCATTCACGCCACAATATTCGTCGGTGGGGGCCTAAAAATCGCTATTTTCAACCCAGGGTAGAAACTCTGAATTTTTTTTTTTGGGGGGGGGGGGTTGAGACATTGTAAAGTGACGGCCCTGCAGCCATTGCACCTGGTGCCAGACCAATTTCAGCTACATTTTGCAATCCTTCTCTAATCTGGGGCACCACACTTCCCTACACTACCCATACTTGAAACAGAAACTGACGTTCTTCTTATGAATTACTCCCAGTCTAAACAAATTAGAAACCTGACTATTCTTAGTGAAACATGTCTAAATATAAAGGCATGGTATTGCCCTCTGGGTCTATAACTAACCCTTTTGAATAGAAAACCCCTCCATTTGGACATATTTCGAGCACGCTTTCTGATTCTGAATCTTTCACTCGAATATTTGATTCTCTTGAATTGCTGATGTAGGTGTCAGGAGTCCACGCGTGCTCAATAGCCGAACCTTGCAGACGAATGGTTTTATTGGATTTGCCAGCAAATCGCTTGTCAGTCCAGTAATGGCGAAGGTAGCCAAACACTGTGTACTCCTGTTTAAAACGAGAAATTTACACGCATTGAGATTCACGATACTCAGGAGTCTGCTACGATTACAAAAATTATACTACTACATGAGAAATTTCTGTGATTTGATTGGCTTAGAGCAGTGGTATTTCAGCTTAATTTGAAATACCTACATGTGAAAATTACAAACCCTTTGCGGGTAGTAGTATAAACTGATAATAGCATGATTTGTACGTGTTATTTGGAATAAATACCACTCGTGATATTTCAAAATTGTCTCAAATTTTACTCGTCTAACGGCTAGTGAAATTACGTTTAACAATTTCGAAATATCACTCGTGGTATTTACACCAAATATCACTACAAATCATGGTATTACCTATACTTATTTACCCTGAAGCTACCACACTTTACACAGGTCAGAGCCCGAATTCATACGTATAGAACAATAGGGCTGTGTTTAAAGAGAGAAAGTTCTATTAATAAGATAAAAGCATATATTTCAAGCTATTAAGATCTATTAACCATGGTGAAGTTTATCACCTGAAACTATGAATAAAGAAAAATTGATATTAAAAGTTACCATGTTGGCTTCAGCAATGTTGGCGAATGATTCTACGTACAGATCAAGTTTCAGTAAGACTGGAGCAACTGCAACACAAACGTTTCCAACATTGACTATTGTCTGCTGTATCAGTTGATGAATATCGTCGTTATAACAAGTTAACATCAAAGATACAACAAAAACAATGATTTTATAATCAAAGAGGAACGTTTTGCTTCGGCATCCTAAATTATGTGCGTATATGCGTATATCTATACCTTATATACTCCCCCCCCAGATACGGCTAAAAAATCGCGGTCTACGAGTCACCAAATCTCCCAGATAAAATTAAATTTTGATCTTTTCTTTCTTTTAGCCCATCTTCCAAAAAATTTAAAAAATCTCATTCTTGGGTAGGTTTCTGTGCCAATTTTGCGAGTATTTCATCAGTGACAAGAAACTGTTTTGTAAAAACCAGCGAAACATGTAAGACCTCATGTGCTGGGTAACACGCATGATAGGACTGGGTCGATTTGTGTTTATGTTCGGGGGGGGCGGTGGGTATCTTGGGGTATAATGCCAAAAGAAAGAACACATCAAGATTTTAGAACTCCGAAGGTAGGCATCTCTGCCATCCTACCTCCATCATTTGGTCTGACATCTTTATCGTAGTTAGAGAACAGAAGCCCTTGAGTAGTATTCCTTGCTAGACCTCCCGTTGAGCTTTAAGGAAAAAAAATATTGTGTTGCGATATGATAGATTTATTTTGTGGGACTGTACTTACCAGTGATCTAGTTATAACCAAACTCTGGAAATTTCGCCAAAAGAGGTGGCCAAAATCGGCGACTACAAAACCCCTCTTTTTTAACTCATACAATGCAGCAAAACGTTCGCGCATGCTCCTTTCAAGCATTTTAAAATAATAACTAAGCAGTATTACCAACCTTAAACATGTTCAGACGTCTCGTTAATTAATGGCAAACGCTAAAGTTACATAATCTGTGTCATTATAAAAAAAATCAGCGTAATATTTGTCTGGAGGACAACAAAGCACATGTGTTTACGTTCTCACAAGCCTTTAATAATGACAAGAGCAAAACCCCAATCATTTTTTTTTCTGGAATTTTCGGCTGTCCCTCTCACACCTATAAATACAAATTCTTATCCAAAGCTTTGTGTAGTATATACTTTACTTAACAGATTTGCAACGAACCTGCTGAACGTACCGGAAAAAAAAAATACATAGTGCCGAGTTCTCTTGGAAAGCTCTTGCGGATTGTGACGTTTGTCTGAAATTGTTATCTTTTCAACGAATACAGGATAATTTTTCAACAGCAGCAATTGCAAAATTATTTATAGATTATATCTTAAAAAGGCAAAGAACATAATATTTGAAACAATTTCCCTTTTCTTTCCCTTCTTTTCCTTTCAATTTTCTTTATTTTCTTTTCTTCCTTTCTTTTTTTCTTACTCTACAATTTGTGTAAATATTTTCCAGAAATATATGCACGTATTTGCAAAAAACCTTGACCTGTCGGCATGAGACATGTAAGACGTAAGTGTATTGTGTATTTGATAATTAATTTATAATAAGAGGTTTTCGTGAAAATTAAAAGTCGGCACGGTTTCAGAAATTGCTCAACACCCCCTAGAGGTTATTAAACAGATTGACTTTTCACAGTTTTTAAGTCGATTCAAATCAAGCTGTGAGCATGCAAGCCAAGAAAACAGGAATTCTGCTTATCTACAAGTCACTAGAAGGGTTCGTGACCACCATTTTATTTTGATTGGAAATATAAATTTTAATGTAATTCACTAATATTCTTATAATCATTGCTCTAGTAACGTCACTATATAATGATGACTACACGCTAGCTATTTTAAAAGACCAATGATCTTCGGTCAGTTTTAAATACATAGTGTCTGTTACCACATACAGCGAGAACTACAAAGCAAAACAAAAAGGAAATAGGGCCATGAATATTAAATATAAATTTTTCCTATCCTGTAGTCTTAAAGAGAACCTAAGCTGTTTAGAATTATTCACGAAACTATTTTTCTCAATTCTATGATTTTGTCTCTCATTCTTTACGCCAGCAAATCTGTTCAATACAAAAAAAACCCTGAGAAATTGATAATTGACAGTATGATTACAAGTAATAAAAGAATATTTTGAATTTTCATTAAATAGAGAATAGAAGACAACCAGTTCTGTATTAAAAATGATATTTAGTTAAGAGCATGCAACATCAATAAGGCTATTTTTCGTCAACCTGCAGAGCATTTTCGTCCAATGGAAAGGTAAAAATTGGAACACGGTTTTTTAACAACTGAATCATTCGACAATTCTTGAAGTCAGATCGACAGCTTATGGTTTAAAATTTTCAGAAAATTAAAGCAATTGAAGTATTCACAATAACTTACCCACAAAAAATACAAACAAGAAGCACAGTTCCAACCAACGATGGCTTCTTGGGTAAATTCTCACAGTATTTTGAGCCCAGCATTACGTAACCAAAGGAGTCTTCAGTCCCAGCCCTTAAAAATTATTAGTTGGTGTCAAAACAGAGGCAGCCCTTTAAAGCTACCCTCAATCAGTTCCTATCGATAGAACTATTTATCAACACTGTGTGTGGCCGTTAGAGCTTCCGTAGCCTCGGTTAGCAATTACTCAATTTGAAAAACGTACACTGAACTTCCTTCAGCTGCTATACTAAAAATGGACTTTGACCCTCTAGTCTCTTCTAAGCATCGTTCTACGTTTCAAATTTAATTTCAATTGGTACAATTTAATATGTGAAAGTTACAATAATAGATGGATATATCATCCAGTATTTTATAGCCTTAAGATATATTATCATTTTCATTTCCAATATTACATGACCCTTTTAGGTCGAACATTATTACAATTAACCTTTAATGAATACGACTCGAACAAGGCAATAGAATTATTTTTGTCTGTGTTTAGACTGACCTGACTGGAAATAACTATTTTTTTGGCTCATCAGTATTATTCTGCTCTCAAATATCCATCAATGAGGTACTTCTTACCGAAGGCCTCCCGCTAAGATTATAGGGACCCAACGTACCTTATCACTCTACGCGTGCTAACGTCAATTGAGGGCCAATTTTTTTTTCTTTCGTCACACTGTCATTCGCCTTCCGGCATATTTTCAATCATAATCGGCGGTCTTTATTTCTCCTAAATGTTATTATCATTTTCTTTTTTTTTCGAGTGGAAGGGGGGCGGGGGGGGGAATTGCAGAATTACAGCGAAATCTCCTTAGATTAAAACTCTTCAATCCATGCGATATAAGCTGGAATCTACACTCACTGTCGGTGGAGGGGCCGTTTTGAAAAATTTAGACTGCGAATGGCAGAAATTTCTACTCGCTCATCGCCGCTGAGGGACGTTTCGCGAAACGTCCCTCAGCGGCGATGAGCTAGGAGAAACGTCTGCCGTTCGCAGGCTAGAAAAATTACGCGGAAATGAGACGATAAAATGAAATTTAATTGTAAACATCTTGTGCAGAAGATCTTACAAGAATGAAATGTAAATTTATTTGATATAATTATACGTACATTGTTCAAGCGTCTTTTGTTTGAGTTCCTGGCCCGAGAGACTGGGCAATACTGTTCCCATCTTATCGATCATAAATTGAAACTACCTTTATAATGATGATTTTTTCAGGGAAGTGAGTTCCGGTGCCACGTAGTTTAGTTTGTCCTTTCTTGTTGTTGCTGCTTTGTTGTTCTTACAAATAATCGAGAACAATGTCATAAAGACTTTTGTTCTTGGGGCATTATATCGTAGTTTTATCAGAAATAGAACACAAACAGCGGTGCTAAACATTGTGAGCTTTCGGATTTTTATATAAACTTGACGTTTCGTATGCTATTCTGAACGGACATTTTCAAAAGTGCTATGTAACGGTCACTTTAGATCCTTTTTGAAAATGTACTGATGTTTACTAGTATACGAAACGTGAAGTTTATATAAAAATGAGAAAACAAAATCATTATTTAATCATAATTTAACAATTATTGAATGAGACTGAGTATGATATGCAGAAATGCCAATCGAGGACGATCGAGGACCATGTATATGCGAAAACTTTGCAGCTTCTAAGGGATCATTAACTCAAATAGCGGTACCAATAAAACACGTTAAACAAAACAAAGGCAAATGGAAACAAGAACCGAGAAGTGCAATCAATAATCTTTCCACAGTCACATGATTTGCAGCGTTCTAAACTCTTCTTATCACGTGCCAATGACTCCTTTATATCCCTTTGCACTGCCTCACCATTACTCAAATAAGAACTCTCTTGTTGTTGTACAGCCATGTTTTCCATAACTGAAAACTCCTGCAAATGTGAATTATTTAACAATTAAAGAATGAGGCTGAGTATCTTATGAAGAATTATGGTGATCGAGGAGGGTGTTATCCGTCGAGGCCATAGGCCGAGGCGGATAACACCCTCTGAGATCTCCATAATTCTTCATATGATACGAAAGCCGAATTCAATAATTGTTTTATTATTCAATCAAAATAATTCCTAGTTTGAAAACAAAGCTAAAACATGCTTACCTCCATCGATGTTAAGTTCATCTTCGATAGTGCACGTTTAGGGTTGTTCAGCTCCACAAATATTCTCCAAATAGCAGATGTCGCCCTTCGAGTTGTGTTCTTGCTGTTCCTGCCATATTTTTTGCTATAATTTCACCTAGTTCTTACTCTTTAAACGAGTGAAATGTCCGCCATCTTTTTTCACGACCAAAACAACTCAACCTCATCCCCAGGTCTTCTCGGTTAACGGTGCCTTAACCTGCAAGAACCCTGAAGTTTTGACGTCATTTCCTCGTTAAACACAAAATTCTTCCAAATTTGGTCATCAGTAACTGGTTGTGGTGAATTATGCGTGTGCTTTTAGCCAATCAGAATCGGGGAAATATTTTGAATGAATAATAAATAGATATAGGTATAAAAATGTTATGTTCTGTACTTTCAATTCATTGGTTCTCATTGTTGGACATTTTCATATTCAAATTCCGATGAAACTAATATTGCAATCACAGTTTAAGCTGCAGGGCCATCGGTATACCATCATTTGAACATAGAGTCTACCAGACAACCCCACGTTTTGCTTTTTACCTTCGATTAACTACTTACTCTACAAATTCCTTACAACTTAGGTTAAAACTCCCTCTGTTGAGATACCATAAAATGACTATAACAGCTACATTTGATGTTGCATTTGATAGAATTGTGGCGGTTCCCTTATGTTTTAGGAAATTTGGGAGTACAATACCTTCTTTAAAATAATATTATTTTGAAATTAGAGGATCTGTATTTTTAATTAGTAACGCCTGACTGAATAGACGTCTCAACTAGATTAAGATTGATCAAAGTTAATTTTAGCCACAGTTCTTAAACCCTACCTGAACATTACTTATGATGTCCATTTCCAACTCCATTACTTTTTTGTGGTTATTGTTTTTGGGATCTCGATTTCTTGGACGCAAAATGTACACTAAGATGCACTCCATCACAACGAGGAAGACAAACAGAAAAGACCCGATAAGGTACCAGTCAATGGCCTTGGGATAACTAACACGAGGTAGCGACATGTTTACAGAGCCCAACAGAAACATAATAGTCAGTATGGTTGTGATACCCAGGCCAACTCGACCACCCATGTCATCTTGGTCTAACCAAAAGACTATCCAACTTATTGCAACCACAAGGATGTCTGGGAAGAAAACTTGGATGACGTAATAACCAATGCGCCGTTTGAAGTTGAAACTTATGATGAGCGTGCTATATGACCCTGTGGATTTCATGTACACTTGATAAGCTTTGCTATTTCACATTTGTTGTTAAAAAACTGAAGTGACATCAATATAGAATTACACATACTAAGGTGTGTGTGCAGGGGTACGCCATTCACAAAAGAGGTACTACTACTACAGACACTCGCTATTTTGGAACAAGGTGAGTGTCTCCTCTAGGAGGAGCATAGGGAATGCACTCAATGAAATGTGAAATGACCCCCCCCCCCCCCTTCCCCCAGATGGATAAAGACGATTAGGAAAATAAATATCAAGTGTAATAGCTATCACTAACCACTGATATAAGTCGTATTTGTTGAGTTCAGTTCCACCTTGTTCATGTCAAATTGAGCAATGCTTTTCTTTTCAACAATCGCCGTGTCAGTCTTCCATTTGTAATTCAAGCCGTTCGTGTTAAGACTATCTACAGAAAAAAACATGATTTCATCTCATTAGCGATCTTGAAGGAATCCTGAGTTTACCTAGATAAAGAGCCGATTTTTACTCCCCTGCGAAAAACTTGAGTCATCACACATTCTTAAATGATCAGGGAGGCTATTAAAAATTTTTTCAGCAGATCGAGTTATTAGCCTAAGGATTCCTTTTTCAAGAGGGATCGAGAGCCTAGTGGCCGAACTGGAACGCAATGTACGCAGACAAATAAGCATTAAAAAATACAAAAATTATATTTCATTGCTTTTCTTGTACAAAAATGGCTTTGAGATATCGCCACCTGGTGGTCCAAAAAACACATTACGTGCATTACTTTATTTGAGTAACCAGCTCCAAAGAGGAATGAGAGTCAATGCTATCAGATGCAAATACTACTCACAGCTCCCAAAAATCAGCATGCATTTTTGAGTGTCCATCGGAAAATTCTCCAGGTTCATTTCACAAGAAGCAACAATCTTGACACTAGATAGAAAGAAACAAGTTTGTATAAGGCAAAATAAACACACCATGCACTAATCCTCCTAACCCCAATCTCATTTGATCACCAGGGGATTGCTGTTTCTTTTCTTTTCTTTTCTTTCTTTCTTTCTTTCTTTCTTTCTTTTTTTTTTTTCTCCTTTGTTCCTCATGGAAAGGATGACAAATATTTCAAGCTTACCCCACCCATTCTTCTCTCAGTCGCCATCACCTTGATGAAGGCAGCATTGCCGAAACGTTGAAGTTTTTTTTTTTAATTATCAGCGTTGAACTTACCACCTTCCCACTTTTAACACACACAAACGCTACGCAGGAAGCCCCCTTTATTTTTACCAAAATCCCTACCATAAACTATGAACTCGAAACTCTAATTCTTCTTACCCTACACAATTTTTTTCAGACGGTATACCCTAATCTTAACCCTATTCGACACCCAAATCTGTACTGTCTGTAAAAGTCTTGATTGTATACTATACCATTTTACCATACATACATATAACCGCAGTCAATTTATATGTCATCTATCCCTTTCCCACAGCTGGTGTTTGGAACTAACCCTTTCGAGTAGAAAATGCTCCCATTTGGATATATCTCCAACATGCTGTCTGACTCCGAATCCTTCACTCGCAGATTTGATTCTCTTGAGTTGCCTACGTAGGTGTCAGGAGTCCACGCATGCTCAACAATCGAACCTTTTAGGCGAATAGTTTCATTGAATCTCCCGGCAAATCGCTTGTCAATCCAGAAATGGCGAAGGTAACCAAACACTGTGTACTCCTGTTTACAAGAGGAGATTGAGACGCAATCAGAGCGTACAGGTGCAATAAAAGGAGACCAGTTTGAAGGAACAGCTCCATAAATAGGTCACCCGGGCTAGCATTAAGTGTGCAAACTTATCACACTTAACAGTGAAAGAGGTTGGATGTTCAAACTCAAAGTTACACAGAGCATGACGATGCTGCGCATTAAATATTTACATATATGGCGATGGTTATATTATCGGAAGAAGTATATTTCATGTACAAATCAAAATTGATATCATGTGACTCACCATGTTGGCTTCAGCGATGTTGGCAAATGATTCAACGTACAGATCAAGTCCTACTGTGAGTGGGGCAACTGCAACACAGATATTTTCTATTATGATTATATTATCACACTGTTTACTGGTAGCCATTACGAGACTACGAGCCATTACGAGCCATTACAAGGAGGATCATGAAGTTATCCTCATATTAAGATCTCTCACCCAGCCAAGGAAAGGTTGGCCATGCGACCGGGGGTGTACATTCTCTATTCTTTTCGAACGGTGGGGTGGGTTCTTTTACGTCCCACAAGAACCAGATCAGGAGCGGATCTGGGATAAATACTGAGCGATTTCCCAAACGAGGGCCGAAGGCGCAAGCTTTGTGGGGGGGGCAGGCTCCCCCAGGAACAGGCCAGATGTCAACTTGGAAAGTGTTTTTTATCATTAAAAATATATTTATTATGAAAAAGCTGACCGATTTCCGTAAGCGGTGGAAGCCGGTGTGGATCCGCTCCGGCAGATGAGTGAAAGCGTTGTGAGACCGGACTGGCCTACGGTTTTTCATCCTTATCAGAGAAGACTAGACAGTCTAACCATTTGCAGATGTCATCACAAAAGAAGCACTTTCTTCTCAGTTATTTAAAGACCCTAAGTGTTGCGGGTCCGGCCGTGATATGAACCCGTGACCTTCCAATCAGCAGACAGGCGCTCTCCCAACTAAGCTAACCAACCAGGACTAGAAAGGATTATATGTTTTGATAACTTAATACATTACCCACAATAATTGGGCGTTTGTTGCACAAGTAAGGGTTAATTTCACTTTACTTTATGATTAAAGGAGCTGTGTCACGAAATTCAGCCAAATTAGGAAATTACAAAGTGCCTGTTAAATTAAGAGAAACATAAAAATTACCGCTTAAAACTTTAAAGGAAGGTTAAAATAACAGAACAGAAACAGCAGATGCCACGGATAGGCAAAACTGAAGATTGAAACGGATTGAAATTAGGGTTTTTGAAAACTGTTCAGCCTAACAGTTTTTCGAAGTTGATCCCTGCTGCTTGCAGCTTCAAAAATAATTCTCAGGAGACATATTTGTTTGTCTCGGATCTCTGATTTTGTCATTTACCTGTAATTTCTTTGCTTACTTTAAGTTCCATAACGATTGAGGGCGAGTAATTGGCAAAACTAAACAAAATGAACTGGACTGCCGTGACACAGCCCGCCCTTTAAGATGTGGCTTGATTTTGCATAAGTGAGCTGCCTGATTAATAGTATTATAGCTTTCAATCAGAGATCAGAGATGTTTACACAAAATTTGCAACAAAGATGTGTGTTTGTATAGGTAACAGCATGATTTGTAGTGATATTTGGCATAAATACCACAAGTGACATTTCGAAATTGTTATACCTTATTATAGGAAATTAATGCTCCATGAAATTAACGCGAATCGTTGAAATTCGCGTTAATCTAAGTCGCGTTAATTTTGTTGAGCGTTAATTTCCGCGACCTTAATTAAGTGCAGCGTTAATTTCTGCGCTCTTAATTTCCAGTATTTTAACCCTAATTTTGGAACCTGTCCAGACATTCTTGACACCTAAAGAACGTTAACTACAAGCTTTCTTTGTTTCCATTTACCCTTTATTTTTCATCTTTCACAAAAGCAAAGGCGAAGGTTTACAATATTTCGAGTTCATCTTCATCGTTGTCGCTGTCAGAAGTGATATCAATATCTTCTCCTTTGGTTTCGGCCAAGATAATCGCGTTGATTTCCTTTTTATGGAATTCTACCTCCTCTTTCGCGTTAATTTTCTTTATTCGAAAGTCGTTTTCCATTCAAATTCACGTTAATTTAAGTCGCGTTAATTTTACTTAATTTCATGGAGCGTTAATTTCCTATAATAAGGTACGTAATTTCACAAGCCGTTAGGCGAGTGAAATTTGAGACAATTGCGAAATATAACGAGTGGTATCTATGCCAAAAATCACCCACAAATCATGCTATTATTTGTTTATACTATTACCCGCAAAAGTTTTGTAATTTTCACATGAGCCAATCAAATTGCAGAAATTTCTCATGTAGTAGTAAAGTGGTAATGATGTTACAGGAAAATTTGCTGAAGGAAAGTGAAACTTTTGGTGTCCTAAATAGTGCTCAAAAGTATAGCTACCTCCATGATTTGGCCTCACGTCTCTATCGTAATTAGAAAAAAGAATGTCTAGAGTTGTAGTTCTCGCTGCATTTCCTGTTGAGCTATCGAGAGAAAAACAAACTGTTTGTTGTGATGTGATTAAATTATATTTTTTAAAAAACCTACAATGTCAATTTACAACCTGGCCTTATGTATATCTTAACCTCGGCAACCGCGTTAAGTAAAAAATATGAAAAAACTAGTATATTAGGGTTGAGATTATCCACTTTTTGGGAGGGAATTTCATTAACTTGCACATGAATACATTAATGCCGATGACGTCATGGCTTTTTCTTTTTCTAACACGGGACGAAAATTTGCTCCTTGCAAATATGTCGCAAATACTAAAAGGCTGAGGAGAAAATATACGTCACACACTCTCTGCCTTGTTCTTGGCCGGCCTGGAGTCTCTTAGTGACAGGAGAGTAGGAGCTTGTAAGCGGTTTATGGCTACTGCACGCCAAATGTCCCCCCTTAAGAACATCATCCACTCCCCCTGCCGCTATTGAGTCTCATTACAGTATAAGGGTCCAACTTCCAAGACGTCAACAAGGTCATACCAGAAGAATTAATGACTTTGTAACTTATAAATTTCAGTGAATGTATGTAAATGTTTAGTTGTATGTGACAATGACCTTCCCCAACAATTCAGTTACTGCTGCAAGTGGGTGAAATAAACAGAATATCTATCTATCTATCTTTTTGGTCCGCAAATGTGGCATTTACCATCTTTGCCCTGTATTTACTCCTCTGTGCGACTTTGCGAATTCATTTTTTCGTCCAGTGCAATTATTAAGATAAGATCAAGAAAAAGTTGTAGCGTTCGAAATAATAATAAGAAGAAACACCAAAAGCTTCCTTGGAGATAGAAAAGACTCCTTGGTTTAAGAAGTATCGCAACATAAACCCCGCAGGAGTTTGTGAATCAAACTCAAAAATTAGAACCTGTTACCACATACAGCGTAAAATCTACCTGCATGCTAAAGCCAAGGCTAAATATGAATATGAAAAAAGTGATTTGAATCTGCAGTATTACTAAAAGTAAAATAATTATTGTTTATTCCCCCCCGTCTTTTACACTCAGTAAATCTAGTGAGTTCGTTATTGTAACAAAGAATTTCCAGTTTTTCATTTCATAGAAAATAGAACATGAAAAATGTTTTTGTTTCCACGAGATTTTCTTCTAGCGAATAGTGCAAATCGTGAAAAAGCAGTGATCTTAAACAGCGAAATTCTTCGCCAAATCTTGAAGTCAGATCAAAAGTTTGCCACTCTAGAAATTGTATGAAATAAATACAAGTATTGACGATAACTTACCGACAAGAAATACAAACAATAAGTACAATTCCAACCAGCAAGAGCTTCTTGAGTAAGTTCTCACTGTAGTTGGAAAACAGCATCACTAAAACCAAAGGTGTCTTCTCCCTGCTTATGAAGTTTACCTCAGTTGGTTGTTAAGAAAGAGGCCGATGCCCTTGAGGGTCCTATCAGTAGTTACCTGTTGTCATCAAGAAATTGAACACCGAGAAAAATTATTCAGAAACAGCGTGTGAGCCTTTTCGCGCATCCGCAGCCTATTAATTATTGCTGAAAAACGTAGATGCTTTCAGCTGCCATGAAAACGGATTTTTTTTTTCAAATTCAAAATGATACAGAGCAATAAATACAGGTTAAAATAATAGACGAATATAACATCCATTATTGTATGGCCGTAAAATAGTATTTTTATTTTCCAGGAGAGGAGACCATGCTAAAAGGGAACTGATTATTATAAATGAATTCGACGCAAAACGGAAATATAACGCTTATTTTTGTATGTGTTTATACAAACGCAAGTTATAACAATTACCTTTTATTTTTACCCTTCGATATAATCGAACTGTACAGAAATATATAATTCAAAATGTTGGATTTTTTATTTTCTTTTAAATTCTGGACTCCTTTCTTCCTCAAGAAGAATTTCAAGACATTATGCCTTCATGCCTAATGTTTGCTTGATGACCCTGATCAGGTCGACTTTCATATTATACATTTTCGTGAATAATATTACCAGAAGTTCAAGTCCGTTGTCAAAATTCAGCCAAACGTTACTTGTTGTCGTACTGTAACTCACTTCCAAATAAAGGCTCGCCGTTAAGCACACAACCGCTTAATTCCTATATCACCAATCATAAGTGTAGCCCAATGAATACTGGAAACCTTTTAAAGCAGAAAACCTATTAATAAACTTATCATTAAAAAATTTAATCCGTTTGTCGTTGCCGCTACTCGAGCGTAAAATTAATGAAAACTACATTCTTTCACGCACAATGAAAGTGAATTTTAGAGTAACACTGCTCTGTTTTCGATCAGATTGAAAACGTTTTCACACTTTAAGAAAATTAAGTTACTGTGAAGATATCTATATTCAGTTAAAAGAAAAGGCTGAACTGACAAAAATATTAACTACCTCGCGTGTGCACTGCTTATTACGTATGCAAGAATGAAGAAATGAATCTGATAATGACGCTGACTAATGGATTGAATTTTCAAATAATAAACATATATATTAATAGAATCTGCAGGGGTACGCTTCATCTGAGCTGACTGAATGGTACAATCACGCACACCTATGTAGCAATTGACTCTATGAATACTGTCGCTCAACTAATCCGATATGATCTGACACATATTCGTAAAGCATCTTTATGTTTCTTTATCTGGAACCTTTTTTGTGTATGTCTGTCTAGAAATGATCGACAAAACATAAAGTTTTAATTCAGCTTAGTACTAATGATTCCTGATCACCGTAATCTGTAGACTTCGCCTAGCCTAAATGTGGAGCTCCTGTCCAATACTTATCTCAACTGTAATTTTAATACTAATAATTCCAAACCATTAATTGATAGCAAACTGGGATAGAGTTATATTCAACCAAAGAGAAACACACACATATACAAATCTACTCTTATGTACAGTCCCCATATGAAAAAAAACTTGAACAAATGTAACAGTTCGATGGTTTCGCGTCCCCTCCAGATAGGTTATCGAATTGTCTTCCCCAAGGGCTCCACGTGCATTGTCGCTCCTCAGTAATTGTTCCCAAGATTTAAAGCCCAGAGATGTTTTATACTTTAACCCTGACTTTAATTAAATGCACGCAACTTAGTGGACCACGACATTCATTCAAAATAGAGGACAGGCAATGTCGGCTTCCAGCTAGGAGAATTTGACATTTACTAAATATAGTTGAATATATATTTAATAAAATATAGTGAGGCACGATAAGACCTTCATCTTCTCCTGCTGTTGATATACCGGTGTATTTCAAATTAATAAATGACGATCAGAGATCATTTCATCAAGGCAACGCGCGGCCCTTATTGATAGCGGTCACATTTTATTAAGTTTAGTTACACAAAATATTTTGGAATGAAGATACAGAAATTTTTATTTACTTCTCATGTAATAATTAAATACTATGTTTGTATTACCATTTTTTGGATTAAACTGTATATATATATATTTTTTTGAGCTTTGCACAAGGCGCAATCTGCTTGTTTTCCCATAACGCAATATTCTCACCATTCTGAAAGTCGGCGTCTTAATATTCACCCCCAAATCATGTTTTATTATTAGCTTTTATTAGGTGTAAAGAAAAGATATAGGACCGTTGATTACAATCAATGCTGAATGCTGCTTACCCTGTAAATTAAACACCTGGTCCAAATAAACCCAACGGGGACTTACTGCAAATCGCCGCTTTAATCCACTTAAAGATCGACCCTTCAGATTAATTAGTGACGAAGCACAGCTTGAAGTTATGGACGCAAAACTATTCGAACTGAAGCCACTCAAATAATAAAAATAAACCACTGAGTTTAAAAGCTGATACTCGAACTGAAATCCAACCTAAGCCACAACTTATGCTCGAGCATAATTTTTTCACCTAGGACAAATAACAACCCCCCAACATCTGGTTAAAATAAATGCAAGTAGAGCTATGATCTACATTGTTATAAATCTTGGAAATGTCAATAGTTGCCATTGTGATCACAAATGCTGGATTTCTGGCGTTTGAAATTTTGGAGGACTTCAACGATTTCTTCTTCGTCTATTATGTAGGATCCTCGCCTCAGGCCGGTTTTCATTAAAGCGATTAGAGAGCTATGATCTACATTGTTATAAATCTTAAAAAGTTTACACGGTTCAGTAGTGAAACTCTCAAAACATGAATATTACGCCAAACGGATAGTGATGACTTCGATCCATTGGTCTCAAGAAGATCTATGAAACGGAGATCTTAACTTCCCTACACCTCTATCATCCCCACGTTTTTAATAAATTTCACATTAGTAGGTACCAACAGGTTTGTAACTTTGTTTGATCCATCGTATCTTCCCTACCTTTTGCTGATCAAGAACTTCTTGGTTCGCTTCAACAAAATTGTCTCTGAATCATAACCCAGTATGAATGTTTCATACTGTGATGTGTGGTTAAAGAAGGTCAAAATTCACAATAAATCAAAGGCAAACAGGAAGTGTATCGCTAAGAAAAGCTCCAAATTAGTTATAAATAAATATTAACTGACACGAAACCACAATTGTTTGTAGGACTAGCGGCGCCTTTTAGTCTGACCAAAAACAGAAGGCATCACGCTTTTATTAATAACATTAGCTGGCCATTCAATAATTTCAACACATCTTTTTGTTTTTCATTGTCCCCAATCAGTGGTTCCGTTTTTTTTCTTTTTTTTTCCACCTTGTAGTAATGAGCCAATTGGGGAAGATACCAGAACTTTTAAAACTGTAATTTAGTTACATTGTGGAGCTTTATGTAATCTGACTTGAGCGTTGCCTTTTGTTCTTTGCAAAAATATACCAACTGTCTTCTTGCTTGCTAGAACAGCAAAATCATGGGGGCAAGTGGAAGTAAGTTCAGGCTAAGTGTAGGAAGCTTGTGCTGGCTAGAAACTGACTTTTTCTTTTCTTAAAAAGTCCTTTCAGTTTACTTTCCTCGTCCATTGTGGAAAATTTCCTGAACCCAAACCTCAGAAGTACTAAACTATAATTTAGCTCATGCTAGCTCAACTGCGCATGCGTTTGCATGCAAGTGTGCTGAGGCAAGGTATGCGCATGCGTTGAGAAGCTGATGTTTTGGACGAGCAGTGCAGTCATCTGATTGCAAAGAGTAAACGTGGTAAAAGGAGGAGTGGTTGACCACCCCTCACCACATTTTAATGTATTTTTTTTGTATTGTTTGTTTGTTGTGGTTTTTTTTGTTTGAGGTATTTTTATTTTGGAGCAATGACAACATTAAAAAGATATCCTGTGGTTAGCGCCAAAAGACAAGGCAAACATTAGGGGATGCGACGCTGGTTGGGGACAGGAGCGTCATTCAAACTGGCATATTTCACTTTATGGTGAAACTGAAATTCAGATTGAGTTTTTGAATTTAACACAATGTTCATCATGCTTGGGTGCTTAAATGATACAGGCATAAATAACTTGAAGCTACAACATTATATCATAAATAAACTAAGATTTCATTGCTTTGTGTTCTGTATAATATTTAATTGGCGTTATTCAATATTTCGTACCCAAGACGACTTTCGCATGATTGGCCAAGACTTGCGTAAGACATATCTGAAAAGCTACTATGCAGAGAAAAATCTTCTTTTGAGATTATTTGCGGAATGAAGGGGTCGCATCTATCCCCACAGTGAACCCCCAAGGGTCCCTTTAAGCCTACATATCGCGTGCACTTTCAGGAAGCACCCGAATGTCATAGACGTATGCAAACCAGTAAAAGATATTAAACAAGAGAAAAGCAATAGGAAACAGGTAACGGGATGTAATATCGATTCTGTCACTTAGGCTAATCTCTTCAGCTTGCTTGCATATTTTTCCTTGCCCGTGTTTAATATGGTTGCAATTGTAATCACAAATGCTGGATTTCTGGCGTTTGAAATTTGGAGGAGCTTCAATGATTTCTTCTTCATCTATTCTGTAGGATCCTCGCCTCAGGCCGGTTTTCATTAAAGCGATCAGTCGGCCAGAGAAACGTCTCTTTTTCTGCAGGGAATGAAGAAAATAACATTTAAAAACAAACAAACAAATAAAACCGCCAACAAAAACAAAAATAGTGCAAGTTCGTTTTACCCTAATAGTAGGAGGTGAAAGAAACAAAATTATCATTCGATGTAAACTTTTCTTCCTTTTCATTGGCCGAAGGCCCACCACGTGACCTGCAAATAACTGCCTACAAATAATGGTCTGCTGATGCGCAATGTTGTCCAACTGTGTTTGGCTGCAAATAATATTCTGCTCATGCGTAAACGAAACCACGCGTGATCGTTCTTGCGTGAAAAAAGGCAGATCGCTTCGCTTCCCGAAGATATTCGTTAAAAAACAAACTTGGTGATCGAATGATAAAACAATTATTGAACTTGGTTATCGAAAAATGTCGTGATTTGCCAGTGTCTCGCACATCAATTATTTGCCTCAGCCCTCGGCTTTGGCAAATAATGGATCTGCTCGGCACTGACGAATTAAGATATTTTGCTCAACCTCGTCCAATAATTGTTAATTGTCCGCTTACTTGTTCAATTTTATCGACGTTTTAAAGGAGCTGTGTCACGAAATTCAGCCAAATTAGGTAATTACAAAATGCCCGTTAAATTAAGAGAAACACAAAAATAACTGCTTAAACATCAAAGAAAGGTTGACAGAAACAACAGATGCCACGGATGGGCAAAACCGAAGAAGACTGAAGCGGATTGACATTATGATTTTTGAAAACTGTTCAGCCTAACAGTTTTTCAAAGTTGATTCCTGCTGCTTGCAAATTCAAAAGTTGTGCTCAGGGGACATTTTTTGTTTGTCTCGGATCTCTGATTTTGTCATTTACATGTAATTTCTTTGCTTACTTTAAGTTCCATAGCGATTGAGGGCGAGTAATTGGAAAAATTAAACAAAATGAACTGGACTGCCGTGACACAGCCCCTTTAATTATAACCTTAAATGCGTCTGGTAAATGCAACTGAAAGTTTGAAGTATTTACTCTGCATGTTTGCGAATAACGCTCATCATAAAATAACATCAGTTTTTCCAACTAAATTAAGTCAGTACCAGATGGCTATGCAGAATTAGCCGGATGCTGCAAGCCAATGAGGAACAACGATATTAACATTCATATAAAAATTATATGAATGACAGATAATGTTGTTAAACCAGTGTTAAACTTAGCTAGCATTGGCATCAACAAAATAGAACTATTCAGCTGTCCATACCTTGCTCCTCAGTGTAAAGATGTTTTTCTTGTTCTCCTTCTTTCCGCCGTCAATACGAAAATGAAAGACAAACATGCATTCCACGAGAGCGGCAAATATGAAAGCGAACGAAACCATTAGATACCAGTCTATGGCTTTGGCATAACTAACACGAGGAAGAGATGTATTTGCCGAACCCAATAGAAACACGATTGTTAAAATGGTTGTTACGCCAACGGCCATGCGAGTATTCATGTCCTACAAAATAAGGATGATAAAAAACATGTATAGCCATACGTATGACTGTGTGATTTACTCTTTGAGGTCAAGGGCAGTGATTTTGTTACCTCTGTGTTCTGCGTCCTTGACGCATAAGAATCCCAAAAGACGCAAAATAATTAAGGGCATGCGTCCCGTGGACGCAAAGATCAGTCTGAAGATGTTTATTGTGGAATATCCCGTTCGTGTGATTTCTGTAGCCGTTCTTGTGGTTGTTTAAAGACGCATGTTTCTTTTAATCTCTGTTGTGCTTTACAAAAGGAGTTTTGGAGTTTTCAATTTGGGACTTAGTGTATTTTGAATTTGGCCGCAATGATTCTGGTTACCAACATAACTATTTGTAACAGAATCGCTGCAGGGGTAACCTTCTTGAGCAATGATAAAGAAACCTCAAGTCTAAAAGACTTACATTCTTGTCCACCCAAAATAGAGTCCAACTGATGGCAACCACAAGAACATCTGGAGCGTAAACCTGCATGATGTAATAACCTATACTGCGGTGGAAGGTAAAACTGACTGACAGCATCGAAAAGTTTCCTGAAAGTGACAAACAGCAATAGCATTTTAGAGGCACTGCGAGTTGAGTGCTTAAAGCAAATTTTTCTACTTGTGCACGATGTTAAAGCTAATTTTGACAAACATATCCGGTTACAAACCACCTAGGCGCTAACTTAGTAAACATAATTATACTCTGATGTCATGGGTGCATCCAAACCCCAACACTGAATTGTAAGGTTGTAAATTGTAAAAATTGTAAATTGTAAATTGTAATTTGTTTACCCACGGAGCACTAAGGAGTTCATAAGAAGTCGTTGAAACGTGTCCGTGTGTTCAGATCAAATTGGAATTTGAAAGTGTTGGTTTTTAAGGAGAGGGGAAAACCGGAGTACCGGAGAAAAACCTCTCGGAGCAAGGGAGAGAACCACAACAAAGGTTTTGGTGTCCGTGGGTGCTTTAGGTATGTTATCGTTATTGTTATTGTTATCATCATCACCATTATGATTATCATCATCATCATCATCATCATCATCATCATCATCATCATCATCATCATCATCATCATCATCATCATTATCATTATCATTGTCCTTATCGTCATTGTAATCGTCGTCGTTGTCGTTATCATCATTATCTGATGAACAGGTCGGGTAATCACTAGCAGTATGAGCAAAACATTAGTTTTACATATGAATCTTGCACTGCGTTTATGAAGAAGAAATAGGCTGTTATCATCCTTTGCCAATGTAACTCTAGCATCTAGATGTTGATCAAGGTTGAATAAGTATTTACCCGTGATGTACTGCTCTACTGTTTTGCTTAAATGAACCTCCTCGTTCTGAAACTGAGCGACTGTTTTCTTTTCAATTTCCACATTGTCCTTCGCCCACCAGTAGACAATATCTGAAGTGTTGTACGCATCTGCGATCATAAAGGCAACAAGTTAATACTATTTAACAAAGGTTTCTGCAATGCCTAAATTATGCAATTAAACGCAACGGCGTGCTTGAACGTTCACGTGCATTAGTTTGAAGGCGTTGATAAAAAGTTTGGATGGCCAGAAGCCTACATGCTGAACAGGCCACCCGTTTGAAATTATCGTTAGCTATCAGTCAATTCATCCATCCATTCAATCGTTCAATCACCTACCCGTCCCTCCATCTCTTCATTCATTCCGAGTCAGTCAGTCAGTCAGTCAGTCAGTCCGTCATTAGTCATCACTCGCTCAGAAGGTCATCTGTTCAGCGCCGTAGCTAGTATGAGGCCAACCGAGGCACTCGCCTCGGTAAAATTTTGACGAATTTCGCCGATCATTTTTATTTTACATTAGCGATCATCGGAGCCTCTCAGAAAAGATTTCGTAGCCAAAATATAACAGTTAAAAAATATATATATATATATATAAACAAAATTTTCGCCGTATTAATACTGAAAACTCAGAAAACGCTGCAAAGCGCATTTCCGAGAGACTAAAGTTCAAAATTTCTCGGGGGGGCATGCCCCCGAACGCCCCTAGCAACTCCCGCCTGCCTCAGTTGGCCGTTTGGTCTGGCTACGGCACTGCTGTTCATCCACTCCTTCGTTCATTCGTCCAAATTTGCCTGCTAACAATATATAACAGCTCGTTCACTTACAGCTTATAAATTTAAGAACACACTCCTGGTGATCCAATGGAAAATCCTGCAGATTCATCTCACAGGACGCAATAATGTGAATTCTGAAGCAAAATAAAGAAAAAGAAAAGATATGAACTAAACACACAAGATGGCGCTGTTATCTTAAGTATATGTCTTTCATACATCTACTCATCTTTTGTCAATGAATTCATTCAGATGTTCCTTCAACAACTCGCACATTTGCTTAATTCGACAATGTTCGTAGCTGCTTACAGGAACAGTCTTTTGGCTTACAGGAATCTTGAAATCATGCAGAACATGTCTTAGGAGGGCCGTCCAATACTCACAAATAGACTCCATTGGTGTTAGTGGTGATAAGAAGGGTGTCCATTGGTTCTATTGGTTAATATGCATCTCATTAAGGGGACTTAGATTATTCTCTCGTGTGGCCTGGCTGGGTACAGGGCAATTCCGATGGTCCATTGGTACCAATGGTACGATTGGTACCAATGGAAAATGATGTCATTCCAATGGTTCTGTTGGTTAATATGCATCTCATTAAGGGGACTTAGATTATTCTCTCGAGTGGCCTGGCTAAGGACAGGGCAATTCCGATGGTCCATTGGTACGGTGGTACGATTGGTACCAATAGAAAATGATGTCATTCCATTGGTTCTTTTGGTTAATATACGTCTCATTAAGGGGACTTAGATTATTCTCTCGTGTGGCCTGGCTGGGTACAGGGCAATTCCGATGGTCCATTGGTACCAATGGTTCAATTGATCTTCACCCCCATACAAGCAGGGAACCCAAGGCAGTCTTGGATTCTGGACTCTACGCAATGGATTCCGGATTCAAGGTCTTTGTCAGTGGGACTTGGATTCTGGATTCCAATCGTAACAGGGATTCCGGACTCCTTGAGCTGTATTCCAGATCCTAAAACCCAGGATTCCGGAAGCAAAAATTTCCCGGATTCCGTAATCTGGATTCCCTTACGAGGAGAGAGCTTTTCTAGGATGGTTTCAAGAAGAGCTTTCATTTATGTGGAGAGTGTTTTTTGGAGGGTGTACGACCGGATTTTATTGTATTTTATTTCTAATTCGCCTTTACCAAAAATTGAAGGTGGGTCAATTTAACGTCCTTTATTAGTTTTGATTTTGTCCTGTTTATGACAAAAATTTACAAACCGTTGGGTGAAGAAAACGCTGCCGTTAATATCAACCCTCATGGCGGACTCGCTATCAGACGCACTCGTTTTGAGGTTAGACTGCCGGGTGTTAGCACAGTATGTGTCAGGTATCCAGGCGTGGACAATTGCGGTATTCCTCAACACTAATGTTTGGTTTAACTTTCCCGCCAAGCGCTTGTCCACCCAACTTTGACGAAAATAGCCAAAGACTGTGTATTCCTGCAGTCAAAAAATAATAAGTAATTGAGCTAATACAAGTAACTTGATTGTTAGAGTGCAATGTCATATTTGAAACAAGGGCATGTACATGAAGACGGCTATATCTGGCAGATTGGTTGCCAAAACCAAATTAAAATGGCTCTAGAGTACGTAGCGGCGGCTGTATTAGCTCAGACAGTGGATTAAACTTTTGCGGGGTTAGGGCAGTCAATGTAGCGCTGATCTTTACTGCATTGGGAAATGAAAGTACCGCAAACGGCTAGACCTTCTTGTGGCTTGGTACACCACGTAGGAACAACGGTCCGTCCGCAGTGTTTGAGATGAACAAACAGTATCCTACTAGCACTTAAACCCATGAAAGGATGATGATGACGTTATGAAAATCATATACGAGAACTGCGGAGTGAAGAATTATATGAAAGAATAACTTTTGCAACTGCGAAAAGAAAGCCCGCAAATTTTTCAGGCTTTCTTTTCGCAACTGCAAAAGTTGCGTCTACAACTGCGATGATCTTCTTTCATATAATTATATCAATTGAAAGTAGTATGTGAAGATAAAAAGCGTTTTTAATGAATAAATAATGTAATATAAGAAAGTTGGTAAAAAGGATGCACCTACCATGTCGGCCTCCTTTATGTTTCCAAAGGATTCCACATACAGGTCCACCATTACATTTAAAGAGCCACCTGTAATTGATGCACACAAACAAAGCAGCGTAAAGACCATGTAAGAGCTAAGTCAACTTGGGACTCGGGTTGATTTATACGAACCGTTTGATTATCAAGTGTCGCGATCGACTGAGAGAACTGTTTGGACTATCACCATCCCTGTCAGAGTTTGTTTCTTTCATACTGATAATAATAATAATTATTATTATTATTTAAAAAATAATAATAATAATAACATTTATTTATACCGCACAAATTCAAGTATACAGTTTTCAAATGCGCCTTAACATTAAAAATTACACGAATGAATAATTATCTAGTCTATAAATTACAACATTATATCAGAAAAGATATATATCATACTAATCAATGAATCGAAACTTGGAACTTTTCTGGACTAAGTAGCAAGTTCTAGTCAAGAATGCTAAGTAAACCTAAAGAAACTTTTAAATCAACATTCTGAGATTGAAGCAGATCTAATGAGAGCTTTCTGTCAATGAGTACAAATGCACGAGCAGTTCAAGAATTCTGGATCAACGTCCAAAATTCATGTACAAGAAACTTATTTCAGTCCGATATTCAAAATATAAAAAATATATTTCACAGTCAAGCCAGGTCAAGCGTTACCCCCCAAGAGGCCATTAATGAATTTATTATTCGAAAGTTGAACCGTCGGTAGTTGTAGAATTCAGATTCATCTCTGTATTCTTGGATGCGTAATGAGCCGTGAATTTACACGCGAGACAGTTATGAAATTTCTACTACCTCATTTTCCCTGCATTTGATGTAAAAGTCTTCGAAGCAATTTTTTAGACTCAAAGATTTTCAATCTGACCAAATACAGAGACGTTGTGGTTGAAAAATTCAGTTCTCATTACGCAAGCAGGAATGCCAATTTGAATTTGACACTAGTTACGGGAACGATTAACGGATTCCTTTTTTAAATAATCAATTCATTAATAGAATCTTGGGGGATACGCTTGACCTGCCTTGACTGTACTACTTACCATTGAACTTAGGCCTCAAGTTTCGATCATAACTAGAGAACAGTTTCTGTACTACATCGGAATGCTCGTATTCATTGCTGCAAAAAGAAATACGATCATGGTTAACTGGGGACAAATGCACATTATTCTACGTGTTGCGTATTTATCTGTAGAATCTGCATAACAGTGAGTAATAGGTTACAAAATGACCACAAATGTATATTAATCTCCCAGACCATCGACTAAAGAAATTATTATAAAACAGGATTTCCCAGATTTTTGCAGTTAAGTGGCAGAAGGTTTTACACTTCAACAGTTAAAATTATTTTGACTTCACAGCTCTACCTGGTGTTTGTTCTATTTCAAAGGTAACACTTCAAAGTAAGCTGTGGTAATTTGCAATTCACAGTATTTTCTTTTCTCTTTTTTTTTCCATCGTCCTTTGTCCTCAGACGCAAGGAGGCGAGAGCATAAAAGTGAGGAAACCTGGGAAACGTTACTCATGTCGTTTGAAGATATTTACCTAGTCCTTCATTTATCATCACGTTGAATAAAATAATTTTTAAACTATTCTTGGGTATATTTTACTCACGGTTCTTCCAATGAGATAACCGCGCAAAATAGACCACCAAGGATTATAACAGATTTCCAGATATCATACATATCGCCTGAAAAAAAAAAATACCGACTCATTGTGAGTTTGAAAATTTTATGTCATTAAGCTACGACTAGGTAAAATCATCATTACGATTGTAAGGAAACCTGCAAGTCAAGCGTAATGTTTTATCGTACATTATCAAATAACTGAGACAGTACGCGCGTTCTGATTGGTTCGAAAAGCTTGTAAATCACGAGCCGAAGGCGAGTGAATTTTCTCGTGCTCTTCCAACATCCCGCGTGGGTTATCACGCCAGTAAACCCATGGAGAGTGTAGTCTATTGCTTAACTAAACTAATATTTTTTGGCCAATCAGAAGCAGGACATTCAAATGCTTCTGGTACTGGATTGGTAAGATTGAATGCCCGCCTCTCCAGTTCCTCGTGTATACTTACCTGCAGTAATATCACTCGTGAAGAGCTCCTTACAATAAGCTTCTCCTGGATGTCTGAGGATAAAATTCCCTACAATTTAACTAACGTTTAACACTCTCAACAATACCTCACCTGCTAATCAAGTCTTTGACAAAGACACAACTTATTGCCCTGGAATAAAAAATAATAAAAAAAGATAAATAATAAAAAAGAGGGCTTAGCCCAAATAAAAAACCATACTACCAAAATGACCCTAATGAGGTGTTTTCGTGCATGTTTGTAATTTCTATTGTTGGTGGTCCGAGGGTGTTTTTTTCCCAAATAAAAGCCCCCGTAGGTTTATATCCTTTTTTTCTTACGTAAAAAAAAAACGAAAACAAAAGCAACGAGTGACGAAATGAAGTCAGTTACACTACATTACTTTACCACTGAAAGGTTCACTGGAAACTTTTTATCATAAATTCCGATAAAAGAAAGTTAGGTTTCTCACCTCATTTCCTTTCCACTGCATGTAGATCGACATATTTTCCTCCTTTTATTAAAGGGGTTTCTCAAACAGTTGCCAGATGAATATCACAAAACAAGAATTAAAATAACTAGTGCCAGCCAGCCTGGCTGGCCATTTTGGTACTTTCAAGTCATCAGTCATTTATTGTCAATCATAATTATTTCTAGTTTTGCAACATTTCTATGGTGTGACCTTTCAATTAATGACCAAAAGAGTGAATTTAATTCCTTACCTTAAATTAAAGAACTCTCCAAACGGTTAAAATTTATGAAAATCGGTGAAACAAATCCTCTTTTTTTCTCGGTTTACACATCAAACACCTTTTATGCAGGCATTAAATTATTAATCTGTTTTAGGGCAAAACGAAAATGATTGTCTCTAGCTATAGCAACTGCTTTGCATTACAATTTATACACATTATATCGCTACTTTACATAACGAAAACCATATATCGTTAAAATCTTTTTAGGAAGACGTAAAAATCAACAATCAAAGACGAAATAATTTTATTCGGTGGAAACCTTAACAGTCAGTCACCAGGCCCCTGATCAGGATCCTTGATGGACATGCATGAAAAACTCAATCTTAAAATCCACACATACTAAAATATTAACAAACTTTAAAGGATTACCTACCGACCCACAGAACATTCAAAGTTTAATTTTCAGCTCAATAACATTATTAAATTTAATCAGATCTGGTCGTTAACGAGTTTAGGGCCGGGATGCAGATTCGTTAAGTAAATATAGTACTTAAGAAAATAAATGAGCTTTGATATAAATGCCATGGTCTCAGAAGAAGTTCTTTTAATTTCTTGGTAGATCTGAATATTCAATGTCAACAAATTTCTTCATGAAAAACGCAAATAATCACTTGACTTTAAAGTGTCAGACTTGAAGAAAGAAGCCTTAATATAACATCTCTTTCCAGAAATGTTTCCAAGTACAAAACCAATAGGCAAACGGATCTGAACACCCACACCACCCTTCCCACCCCTCACCCACAAGTACACACACACCACTTGCACACGTATTCGTTTTTGTCTCTTTATGCTAAATTTATTGCAATTAAAGGTGTGTTCGTCGTACAATAAGATCTAATTAGCTTCCAAGCATCGTCAGTCTAAGTCTAGGACTTAAACTTTTTATAATACAATGTACGTGTATCAAAAATTTATTTATATTTTCAACATTATCTTAAGTCTTTTTTTTTTTCACACCTTTTCTTTTGTTTACATTTAGATTCATTTTTTGGAAATATTGCAACGTTCCTCATACGATTTTTAAAAATTGCCTACCTTAAACTATCTATCAAGTATCTAACTGAAAAATAGCAAAATAGCTGGCCAGTTAACACAGTCTCCCCGTCCCCCCAACCCCACATCGTGACATCATACTTTGACCTTAACATTGCGACCCGAGAAAAGGTTTTCTAGTTTTTGGAGTCAATTGGACAAATAATGACGCCAATAAAACACGTTAAACAAAGTAAAACAAAATGGAAACAAGAACCGACAAATGTAATCAACGAGTTTTCCATATGTACATGGGGGGCATCGTCTAAAACCCTTCTGAGCATGCGTAGGAGACTCTTCAATCATCTCATCCTCTGCATCGATCTGAGATGGTTCGCCATTACTTGAGCTAGTACTCTTGCGTTGTTTCAGAGCGATGTTTTCCACTCTTGGCGCATCCTGAAATTCATAATTAATAGTGAACAGGACGGAAGAGGGAAGAAGAGGGCAAAACTTGTGTGACAAGCGTGACGATAATTTTGTTTGAAATAACTTTTCGCCAAACTTCACTTTCCTTTAAACAGATCTTTTCTTTAAAGACCAGAAAACGTTAATGTTAAGTGGGGATCTCGACAAAACACGTAAGTAATAGCCCTATCCCGTTTGTCACACACGACCGTTTTGCCGTCCTCTCCTTTCTAATGTTGATCTTTTAACGTTAACCCTATTTATACTGGCCAGTTCTTTTAACCCTTTATGAAAAAAAAAAATTATGGGACAGAGATGGAAACGCCCAGACTAGCCCTAAGGGTATACGAGTTTCACCAAAGTTATTTTTAGACCAATCAAACGAAGTTGATTTCCGGAGAGGTCCGCAAAATTCTATTTAGTGTTGTCAAGAGAGAATAGAATAGTCGCCATTACAATATTCTGCATTGCTTGCTTGGAAGCAGTCGCGCGTGGACTTTATGACCTTTCAAACAATCAACTGCCCACCTACCCCTCCCTTAAGCCATCATTATCACTTACTTCTCACTTAGGGCAAAAAGTTGGCTTAGGAGAGGGGTAGGGGAGCAGTTTCCTAGAAAGCTAAATTGATCCAACATTAATACTTACTTCTACTTAAGGCAAAATGTTGGCTTAGGGGAGGGGTAGGTGAGCAGTTTCCCAGAAAGGTAAAATGATCCCTTTTATCTTGGGGTAGGGTGGGGAGGGGGGAGGGTCCGAAGCCCACCCCTAGTCTCAAGAAGCCAAAGAAATAAGCTCGGTCTAGACATCGCGTTGCTAAGCACGCTAGCAATTTTACTGAATTATTGCCCATTAGGGTGTTGTTGCGGCACTCTTTTGTTTAATTTTCTTATGAATATTGGTGAGTGAAAGAACCCTTTAGATTTGAGACTAGTTGAGCTTTTTTCCTGCTTTTAGCTCAGTTGTTTTTGTATTATTGATAGCGCTTAACCCTTTAAGCCCTAAGAGTGATCGGCATCAAATTTCTCCTTGTTATACTACCATATGAGAAATTTCTGCAATTTGATTGGCTTAGAGCAGTGGTATTTCAGCTTAATTTGAAATACATACATGTGAAAATTACAAACCTTTTAAGGGTAGTAGTATAAACAATTAATAGCATGATTTGAACATTATATTTGGCATAAATACCACTCGTGATATTTCAAAATTGTCTCAAATTTCACTCGCCTAACGGCTCGTGAAATTACGTATAACAATTTTGAAATATCACTCGTGGTATTTATGCAAAATACCACTGCAAATCATGCTATTACCTATACTAATATCAATGCTTTGTAAAAGAGAGTTGTCTAGGGAATTACGGACATGATCACACAAGATGAATAGGCCACTTGCACTAAGAGGTCACGTGACCAATGCTTCCTTTAAACAATGAGTTAGAATCTTGCTGATGCCAAAAATTTACAGAGCAAGTAAAAATTATCTTCCACCTGAAATTTGAGAGGAAACGCATTTAAGGGAGATATTTTATTGGCACTTTGATTTTTCAACAAAGTAGTATGATTTGTATTGGCCTCCAACATGGCGGCCAACACTACTTTTTGCTTATGTCTTGTTAAACGTTTGAATTTTGGTCACGTGACCATTTACGAACCTACTCATTTTAAGAAAATGGTGCAGGTTTGAAAAGCCAAATCACTAATACTTTGTTTAAGATATGACCCACAAATCCATTTTCGAAGGCGAAATCATATAACTTTCATTTTCATACAAACGATGTCCAGGGTTCTATCCAAGGTATTTGAGGGGTAGAAGCTTCCCCCCAAAGATGCGCAGCTTCCCCCCAAAAAATATTGTTATCACTACGGTATATAGGTAACTATATTGGAAAAATCATTCAGACAAGACAAGGTCATTGCAAACAGTGTAACATTTTTCAAAATTGTGTCTCAAAATGCACCAGATTGCATCTCAGTGCATATTCATTTCAAAAAATTCCCGGGGGTGCTTGTCCCTGGACCTCCCTAGGAAGCTTGTTGCCTTCGGTCAATCGGAACCTCTCCCCCAAAAGATAAATCCTAGATAGAACCCTGATGCCACACGATCACTCAGTGCAAATAGGCCTATTTGCTTGATATTTTATCAACTTCTCCCCACTACTTCTGTAGGAAATGAATAGGGGCAACAAATGAGAATTTTAATTTTGATCTTAGGGTTTAAAGGGTTAATGAAGGGGCTTCCCAGTTTGTCTGTAAATAGCAGCTGCAAGGCCATCATTCAATTTAATTTCAACAACAATTCGTTATGCCCACCTGAAGATCATTTTTGGTGCCCATTTCCAAATCCAGGTCTTTCCGTTGCGCGCTGTTCTTGGAATCTCGATTTCTTGGACGCAAAATGTACACCAGGATGCACTCCACCAAAACGAGGAAGACAAACAGAAAAGACCCGAGCAGGTACCAGTCAATGGCCTTGAGATAACTAACACGAGGTTGCGACGTGTTTACAGAGCCCAACAGAAACATGATAGTCAGTACGGTTGTGATACCCAGGCCAACTCTATCACTCATGTCTCTTGGGTCCAACCAGAACACTGTCCAACTCATCACAACCACAAGGGTGCCTGGGAAAAACACTTGGATGAAGTAATAACCAAGGCGTCGTTTAAAGTGAAAGCTGATGGTAAGTAGGCTGTAGTTCCCTATGGATTTGAGGAACACTTGACACTTAGTGAAATAAAGGAGACCCTTTAGGCTGCGTGCAAACGGACAGACAGGGATTTATAGTTCATTTATGAGCTTACTGTAACCCACCCATAGCCCATGATATGAACGATGCGTGATGCTTGAAAGTTAGACCACATAGTGTGGGTTCTTTTACGTCGTCTTCGATTTGACTAATGAAAGAAGGATGAAGGAGAGAAGTCCAACAGCTTAATGTCATCGCCCAATGACGCCATCATCTCAAATCACAGCCAGCTTGATCTCACCAGTTTTTTTAAATAGCCCGGTTTTTTTAATACCCTGGGATCAATTTAGTAAAACTTTTACACGTGTAATTTACAAGTGTAGCCATTGTTTTAGAGTCTGAGAACAATAGCTACACCTGTAAATTGCACGTGTAAACGTTTTATTAAATTGACCCCTGGTTGTTGGTCCGGCCGTGGTTTGAACCCACAACCTCCCGATCGGCAGACGGTTGTTCTAACAACTGAGCTAAGCGGGCAGCAGGCTAAAGTTATGGAATAGGACCATTTGGTACATTTATCACTAACCGCTGATGTAACGTATAGTGGTTGAGTTCGGTTCCACCTCTTTCATGTCAAATTGAGCCATGCTCTTCTTTTCCACTTTCACCGGGTCATCTTTCCATTTGTAAATCACGTTGTCTTCGTTATAACCATCTAAAGAAAAGTAAATTCCCAATACACTGCTGTATGAATACTCTTGGTGGGTACCCATTAATTTCACATAGTTCAATTGTGTCATGTGGCCCTACATTGGCGGAAGGCGGATTGGCAAAATACCACCAGTGGATAAGAGGGCAGCCACGACAAAATGCGTACAATTTTTCCAAGACTACTTGTTTTTAAAACAGCCACCCTACAAACATCCAACTAATGCCAAAATCGTCTCTTGAAGAAATATTTTTTCATTAAAATCAAGGATACTTAAAATATTTTAAATTAAATTCCAACACACGAACGAACAAACCTAGACATTTATTGTCTGTTGTACACTACGCCAGGCATACACAAAATATCTACAAAAAATTTATTTCAAAATAAGCCACTTATAGATAATTTCGGATGTTTACTGGTTTTCGTAAACTGCGGTCTAAGTTAGACTTACAACTCCTACTTACAACTGCTTAAATTCAGACTGCATTTTTGAGTGTCCATTGGAAAGTTCTCCAATTTCATGTCGCAAGCGGCAACGATCTTGTAGCTGAAATACACGGAAACAAGTTCGTTCAAGGTCATCTAGACTAACACAGCAACCCCCAGGCATCCTCGGCTCGGAGCGAGGGCTCAATTCCCGAACAGTGGCTGGTAATCGACCCATCCCCCCCCATTCCTACCTTCTCCTATACAGCCCTTTCCAATTTTGGGTGGTGGTTTGGCCTTTTGCAGTGAACAAGGCATGGTGCAGTATTGAGAGCGCTCGCCTCCCACCAATGTGGCCCGGGTTCAAATCCTGGCGGTCGCGCCATATGTGGGTTGAGTTCGTTGTTGGTTCTCTCCTTTGCTCGGAAAGGTTTTTTTCCGGGTACCTCGGTTTTCCCCTCTCCTCAAAAACCAAAATTTCCAAATTCCAATTCGACCAGGCATCAGGTAGATGAAGAACTACCTCCAAATTATTATTATTTCATAATTTTGCTGTTAAAACTATCTCGAATACTAAACTTAACAGAAAACCTGGAGTGAGCTCTCGCAAATGCCCACCTGTTGACCACCACTTATTTATTTATAAATTTACAAAAATGATTTATAAAAAATGGTTTGGGAAGTAAAAAGTAAACGTGCTTTCATTCTTGAAAATTTGCCTGAACTAGTCAGAAGCACTGTCCGGATCTGTCATCAGTATGGATCATTTCACTCGTTGCTCGGACGTTATTTCGATTGTCGAGATCACTTCTTGCGTCAGTATGAAAACAATTCTTCTTTTCAATATCGGCAAATAGTGGCTTAAGAAACCCTATATGGCACTCACCCCACTAATCTACAAAGGAATTAAAACCAACCTTCTCGAATAAAAAATCGTTCCATTCGGATGTATCTTGAATAAACTCCCTACATCAGAGTTCTCGGCCATAAGATTTGATTCTCTCATGTTAGTGACGTAGGTGTCAGGGATCCACGCACACTCAATTGTCGAACCTTTAAGACGAAAAGTCTCATTGAATTTGCTAGCAAATCGCTTGTCAGTCCAGTAATGGCGAATGTAGCCAAACACTGTGTACTCCTGTTAAAACGAAGAGACAGACAAGAATGAAAATGGACTGCTATAGAGAATAATTATACTGAACATGATGATGCTGCTGACCATCAATATCATTATCGTTACCGTTATAACCGTCATTGTCTTTGTCATTATTATTTTTGTTTTATTTTTATTATTATTATTACCATTATTATTATTGTACGGAAACAGCACTATCCATGTTTCACAGCACGAACTGAATCGATTAAAACTAGATTCCAAATTTCGTGCTCTTTGAAGAATCATGCACTCTTACTATCTTATCACAGACCTTGGATGCTAAACTTAAGTGATTTACCGTACAAAAACGAGCTGTATATAAACATACATGGCGAGGCTTACATCACCAGTAAAGTGAATTCATATCCAAAAATTGATATCATGTGACTTACCATGTTGGCTTCAGCAATGTTAGCAAATGATTCAACGTACAGATCAAGTTCTACTGTGAGTGGGCCAACTGGAACACAAACATGTTCATGATTAGGTAGACCCTCTGGGGTATAGAGGTACAGTGGCAGCCGTCAAACTTATGTAGATCTTCAGCTTGGCATATGAATAAATTAGGAACACGTGACCAATTAGCCCCGGCCCGGCCACGGCTCACAGATCCACCACAATAGAGTTCAAAAGTGATGACGTCATGAAAATTAAATTTGTGAAATTATGGGATTTGTCAGGATATTCTAAAAGGACAACATCCAAGAGTCCTATTTGCCAAACGTTTAGACCCAAGTCAACTTTAGAAGGATTGTATGGAGTCATCAGAGCATTACTGGGCTAACTTGCCTCACAATGCTTGATTTTGGCAAGTAGGCCTCTTGGATGTTTTCCTTTCAGAAAATCCTGACAAATCCCGTAATTTCCCAAATTTAAGTTATATGACGTCATCACTTTAGAACTCTATGGCGCTGCTTATAATGGCCCACCCACTGAAGCTGCACTCCGAAAGAAGTACCTCTTTTTAGTCTAGATAAGTGATGCAATGTCCGTGAGTAAATATATTTAATTTGATAATTCGTTAAATATTATTTACGGAAGCCTTATTGCCTATAAGCCGCACGTTTTCCCTAGGGTTTCCGGCCTCGCCATTGGGCGGCCATTAGAAATTTTTCGTAGAGTACCTTTTTCTACCTCTTCTCGTGAGTTTTCCCACCTACGGCAACTTCGTACAATTGGCGGTTGAAATAATCACTTAACTCCCGCTTCATATTGCATAGGCCTGTTAACATTTAATATGCAACAAGCAAAATATTTTGAGTGGCAATTATGTTACAGGGAAACATGTAGAATGATTGAAGAAGAACATTCAATCTCCTATAATCTTGATGAACAAAACGAATATAGCTACCTCCTTGATTTGGTCTAACGTCTTTGTCGTAGTTAGAGAACAGAATTTCTAGAGTTGTATTCCTCCTTGGATTTTCTGTTGTGCTATCGAGAGAAAACAAGTATTCATTTCATAGATATAGATAGTGTGTCATCTTTGTACGACCTAATAGTCCGAACAGTAGAAAATAACCTTGATTCATGCTCGAGGTCACGTGAAATGCGTAAACGACTTTTGAAAAAATGTGATTGTGAATAAAATTAAATTCAAGTATTAATTTAAGTTTCTTGCTGTTGGAGGGCCTAAGCAAGCTTACATACCAGTTATTTCATGCCGAGCTCACATGTCAATGGCGTATTAATGACATAAAAGCCTCTTCTGAGAAAAACGGACCATGATCCAAGATGGCAGCCAAGGTGGCAGCCATGAAAAATGCCGTCATAGGTTTTTAAAAAATAAATAAATAAATAAGGCATGTTTATAGTGGAAGGTGCACTTAGCTAGTCAGCTAATTTACAGGCACTCCACTCAAATATTAGAAACAAATAATTCAAATACAACATAACAGGATTAAAAACCCCAGCTGGCAGAAGGCAAACCAGTTGGCTATTTACAAGCGTGGCCGAGAATTTGAACTCGGGACGACCGAGCACAAATCCAGCAAGTGGCCAGAGCGGGACTCGAACCCGGGACCCCCGGATTGCGAGTCCGACGCGCTGACCACTCGGCCACGCTGCCTCCCTTCAGGTGCGGTTATCACTCTTGTCTAGCGCAGAGCAATAGAATATCGCTAATTATTATTTTCAGCCTAGATGCAAGCAGTAAACTACTTGGCGCAAAAGCCTGAAGGTAGACAGATATATTAATTTTCGAAGAAAATAGTTTTATTTCCTAACACGTTCTTACTTTATGATTGGTCTAAATAGGTATGTATGCCGAAAGGGAAATACAAAATTGACCGGACGTTCAATTTTTTGCGTTTCCACGGCACGTTTCGCCGCGGTGTTATTGTTAAGACGTCATGTAGAGCTCTTTGCAGGCATATATTAACAAAGCAAATTACCTTAGTGGGGTTCTAAGTAACCCAAGATAACAGCCATTTAATTTGCGTCACGGGTTCCTTAGAAACGTTACGTCCCACAGCGATTTTACTTTCCTCTACATTTAACAACCGGCAGCAATCTACTGCGACCTTCTCAAAGTTTATAAAAAGCCAATACCAACCAGTTAGACTACAACCACTCTCGCGCCCTCGTCACCTTACACTTAGAAGAAGATAAAGGTTTGAATTAGCTAGTATGTCTGATAGTTGATCTTTCTTCTCATAAAAAAAGTACACTTTTTAAAACCGATTGCCTCTCGACAACTTCTTTAAGAAGTAAAGCATACGGTTAATATGCCTATCAATGACAGAACAGAATACAAAGCGACTGACCGACATGTATTTCTAGTTTCTGTCTTACTTTTCATTTATTTATTGTTATAATTCAGGGGCGGATCCAGGATTTTTTTTAGGAGGGGGTGCACTCGTCTCTGGATCAGCTCTACTTCAACACCAAGAAACCACATAGTTTTTTGTTTTTTTTGGCAGAATACCAATTGTATTAGAAAACCGCAGGTCATCTCAGGGGGGCTAGAGGAACTAGTCACGGTAATTTATGTCCGCAAAATGTTAACTTAACCTGTTGGTTTATTTGCTGTATATCAAGTCGTCTGGGGATGGCACAAGATCAAGACTTACTAAGTGAACAAATATTTGCCCTGCGGTGCGTTACAGTGATGACTGAATGGAGAATTCACGCACTGTAGGAGTTTATTATCAGGTTTAAAAACTCGAGGCGAAGCCGAGACATTAGGGACCTTACGAAACAAGGACGGCGACGGCAAGGAGAACTTCAAAAAAACAACTCTGCAGGTGCATCACGCTTTTTTGTACATTTCCAGTTTGCTGTTCCTGTACACCTACGACGTGAAATGACCAAATTTTAAGTTTACTTGAGAACGGGAACGGCAAGGCGAGAAATTCTACCATCTCTGTCCTAATTCGGGCGCGGTCCCCTCTCTTCAGCTCCAACCAAAATTCCTTTCTTTTAAGTAACAGGGCGAATTGGGATAATCGCGAAAAAGTTTAAAAGGATGTGAAGTCTATTCTTCAGCGACGTTTTCATTGACGTCGCCGTTGTGGGATCGTAAGGTCCCTATTATATCTAGTCGACCCTTTTGTTGGGAAGGAAGAATGTTAAAAGAAAACAAGGAAATCAAATAAAAATTGTTGTCCTCGACCCTGGACTTTAAAGCCTTAAGGCAGGTATTAACAATAACTTACCAACAAGAAACACAAGCGATAAGCGCTGTTACAACCACAAAAGGCCGCTTGAGTAAATTCACGCAGTACTTTGAAAGCAGCATCACGAAAACCTGCTTACTATAGACTGTAAGCGAAGACAAAAGGACTCTTCAATGGCTTGTGAAATTTACATCCGCTGGTGTACAAACAGGATCATTTAAAAAGTCATATCAATTATATGTGCCTCGGCTGTTTTTAAGAAATTGAACAACAAAGAAAAATCGTTATTCAGCGACACAGTGTGTGTCCATTAGCTCAGCCTAAGTCTACCAATTACTTTTAAAATGTTTAATGCGTCCTGCGGCTATAAGAATACACTTTGACCAATTTCTTCTATGCACCTTGTTTTAGTAAACGTTCACAATTCAATTGCTACAGTTTAACATGTAAACGTCACCAGTAATATAGGGACATTATCGTGACGCATATTATATACAGCTATTTCGAGAAAGGTTGTCGCAAAAACTGTGCACGCGACAATCCCGAAAGGAAATATGGGATATGATCAATACACTTGTTCTTGACACTGTAGCTGTCGAACCTACTTTTGTTGTTTCCTTTAGCCCTCGCAAACATACGTCCATGGCCTCTCGAGCCATTCTTTTAAATTTCTTTGAAAAACAGTGAACTAAAAACCACCCACAACGCCTTTCGGGATTGTCGCGTGCACTTTTTCCGACAACCTTTCTCGAAACAGCTGTATATGGAGGATATTACACGATGGCGCGAAGATATGAATTTTAATTTCGAGTGGCAAAACAATATTTTACGAACGAGCGCAGCGGGTGAGTAAAATATTGTCTTTGCCACTCGAAAATAAAATTCATATCTTCAAGCCGCCGTGTAATGTTTTTTTTATTATATAGACAAAATGACATCGATAAAATAATAGAGGGAAATTACCAAAATTACGTCATCGATAAACTCACGTGTGAGATTACGGAAAATAAACCGGGTCCCGGATGTAGTTTTTTATGAATTTTACGAGTGGTATATTTTCCAGTAAAACACTCGTGTCTATTAATGTGACGTACTTATATTTCGTTTTGTCTGTGTTTATTAAACTTGATTGGCATTTGCCTTTAACTTCTTATGCTCATCAACACCAGCGATCCTAGTAATATTGATTGGAACTCTTTGCCTTCTGAAGTAATGTCATCTCCTAGCCTTCAGTCTTTTAAAGTTTCACTGATTAAGTACCTTCGCTCATAATTTACCTTAAAATATTAGGCATAGTGTCTTTAATATAAGTTTATGCATTATTATTAGGCATCTAGGTTTATAATTTATAGTCTAATTTATAGTCTTTTAATATATGTTTATATATTAATTAATTATTTTTTCTTTTTTTTCTTTTTTCTTTTTTGGAAGGTATGTTTTAGCATGGGAATTTGGTTTCCCCCTACTACCGTCCTGTTAACCATTTTTGTATTTTTGTTCGATTGTATATGTTAGTATTAGTTCATTTGTATCAGTTATGTATGGTTACGAACTGTGATTAAAGATTAAAGATTAAAGAATATTTCTTCTTTAATATGCAGCTGGTCTTCTCTCCCCTCCCCGCTCCCTCCTCCTCAAGAAGTAGGATCGTTTTGTATTGCAAGTAGAGTATTAAGTCTACACGGCGAAATTCGTTTTCATATTTACACCTGTTAGTATTGGCGGTCATCATTTCTGATCGAACTACTAATGATTGATTTGTTTTTGTCACTTTACAGGTTACATATACTGACAAATACAGAAGAAAAATATTGACGGGGAAGCCTGAACTGGAAGCCTGGGGCTTATATGGGGTCCAGGCTCCCTCTCGATTAGTTTAAGTAGACATAACATTAAGGAAAAGAAGACACGATTTTACAAAATAAACTACAGCGTAAACTAGGATACAGGAAAAAAGAAGAAGAATACAACTTAATTTCTTACAAAAATAGGATGACATATTTTAAATAGAATATTTCGATAAAAGTTCACATTTAAGAGAAAATTAGATTTCTTTAAATTTCCTTTAAAAAACTGTTCAAACCATCACTATTTGGTCATTAACCATTGCTATTTTTATCGCCCGTTATGATCGTGTTTATTGATCATTTATACACAACACGTATACATGTAGCTGGACTGACGTCACGCAGGGATATGATGTTTCATCCGAAATATGTTTTGTCTAATGAATCAAGTGTGGTTGAAAGGTATAACTTTCAGTGTATCAAAACTTCAGTTGAATCCCGATAACTCGAACCTCCTGGGGAAATCGAAAAAGGTTCGAGTTATCGGGAGTCAACTGTTGTTGTTTTGCTCTACCCACATAGATTAGCCCTGATGATTTGCGGATGGAACAGTTTTGTAAATTTTCCTTTAAAATACTGAACTAAACTCGAAACTTAAACTTGAAACTTACCACTGCTTCGAAAGTTTGTTACTTTCGAAACATTTCCTTGCTACAATTTTCCTGTGTTCTATAGTGAACTAAAAGCTACGGGATCTACTTCCCCATACTACGTAACATCATTAAAGCACACACTTACCAAGGCTTTTTGTCGTTTGTTTGTTTTGGTCCATCCAAGGTCATTGTTACTGTGATCATCATCATCATCATCATCACCATCGTCATTGTCATATATATGTTACACAGGTCACCCCGTTCCCCAACTAACTAAAAATTTGTGACATATGACGTAATCCCTCTGAGCTGCCGTCTCCAGACACAAATGCAATAACCACCGTTAATAAAACACCATGGAAACCATAAACCAGTCAAACACCAGTTTAACTACAGGGTGAAAAGCTCACGACTTAAGGCTTGTCTAACAATAGCCTGTTTTCTGACCCTCTATTAATTCTTCTCTTTAGAGATAATCGAGCACGCGTATGAAAATTAAACCACGGTCTTGATGTAACCATAGTCTTGATGTAACCTAAGTTAACCCTGTGGGCGGGATCAGTGCTTGGATGGGTGTCCAGCCACAAGTATCCTCTCTGGCATCAAATATCGTCTATCATCAATATCAAATATCAACCTGGTAAACCCCGACCCACGATCCACAACCCACGGCTATCAGTTACTCCCTTGCTAGTCGTTTCTAGACTCGAAACTCTTGAAGTCCTTGTCTATGAGTGAATGAATGGCGTTTTGAATTATTCAAAAATAGTAACCTTTTTATTTTTAGAACATTAAAAATGCGACTTTGTACATGGTGTCAGATAGTGTTCTTCCTGTCTGTTTTCTTTCTTTCTTTCTTTCTTTTTGCTCGCTAAATCGAAACATCCAGTGCAAAAATTTCCCCGCGAGCTAGCAACTCGGTTCGTAACCTCGAATAGGAAGATATTCTAAAGGTAACTCGAGTGACTGATGATGGAACTGCGGTTTCTCTCTCAAGTGTTCGAAAAACCCTCATACAGTGGAATCCCGTTTCTTCGAACTTCCTTGGAAAAAGGAAAATGGTTCGAGATATCGGGAAGTTTGAAAAAAAATCTAGTGTAAAATTACGGCGTGGGCGGTTCTGCAGGTACCGGAAAGCTTTGTATTTTTGGTCACTTGGGATTAGTCTTTATTTGGAGTTGTTTTGTTTCCTGTCTTTTATTACTATTGTATTACGTAATCTGTGCTCCGGTACTCACAGAAGGAACTGTATTTTTCTTGTATAGAACAGGATAACCTGCTTTGTCGTTGAGAGTGAAAAAAAAAACCCACATTTTCATGTTAAAAAGGTAAATGCCTCAGTAAGGCAAATTTGTATCCCAACTATCAACATTATATCAACGTTACAAACAACAAGAATGAAAATTTGAAAAGCTGTTAGGCAAACGGCAATTGCAATCCGTTTTAATCTTCTTCAAGTTCATCCATCCGTGCCTTCTATATATTGTAATTGCTGTGTTATTTATACTTTCCTGCAACGTTTTGAGGGGTTATTTTTATACTTTACACAATTTCTTGGCAGCTCTCACTGTCTGAATTTTGACAAATTTCGTGACACAGTTTCTTTTATCTCAGGGGAATGCAACTATAAACGTACTCGAGCTAAGTTTTCTCTAAAGCCTGGTTTCCATATGATCGCTACGATCGATGTGATCGCTGCGATGTGATCGATCGGCGATCGCGGAGATAGACAAAGTTCTATCTCAGCGATTGTTGTCGCTGCGATTGCTGGTGGGTTTCCAGAAGAAGAAGTTTTTAGAAGAAAAAGTTTAGCAGTCGCAGCGATCATATGGAAACCACTATCTAAGCGATTGTTGTCGCTACGATCGCTGGAGAGTGGTTTCCATATGATCACTATGATCGCTGCGATTGCTAAACTTTTTCTTCTCAGCGATCGTAGCGATCACAAAGCGATCATATGGAAACCAGGCTTAAAGAGTTAAACGGCAGAAACTCGCGCTGTTGAAGCTTAGAAATAAGACATCACAAAAAGGAAATATCTCTCAGTACGTGTACGTTAATGATATGAAGAAACCGGAAAAAGGACAATAATTCTTACACGTTTTAAGAAATTTGCATTTGTGGGCAGTTATATGGCACAACCTTCCTTGATATTACTCGCGAAAAGAAGGTCACCTTATATTGTTTTGAATTTAATGTATTACTCGATGAAGAGTGATAGAAGATAAACAGTGAAAAAAAAAAGGTACGAAATTTCAAAAAGATAGAAAAGGGCCAAGCTGAAAATGTTTAAAAAACAGCGCTGTCATTACATAACGTGAGAATCTGGTTTCGCACTTGGAAACAGAAATAGTATTGGCCGGAAATTCATTATTATATAAATGATTCATTCCTTCAAAACGCAGAAACGAGCAAGCCTTTTACTGGAAATCTTTCAATTTCCAAAGAGAGCGTTAAAGAATAATATCTCCGTTATCTGGGGGATTCATCTGCTATCTGTTTATCTGGAACAAAAATAGTGAATCATTCTCCATAAAATAACACGTGCGCGTTGAGACAAACTGTTAAAAGGACTCGTACTATCCAGGAAAAAGTTAAACAACAAAACAGGTAACAGAGCTTGGAGCAAAAGAAACTGTTGAAAAGCTTGACTCAACCATAAGAATAATTTCAAAGTGAGACTATGAGGGATGATATTGAACAAGTCGTTCTGTTAACAAATGTTGCTGTTAATATCCCTCTTGCCTTAGCTTCTGTAAGTGGAAACTGTTTGGTGTTACGTGCAGTAAGGAAAATCCCATCTCTCCGCTCGCCGTTCATTCTTCTTCTTTGTGGATTGGCATTATCAGATCTGGCTGTTGGCGCAATTGTACAACCTTTCTTTGTCGCAAACGAGTTGGTAGATTTGTACGTCCGATCTCAGGGATTTCAAGATACATTTCGCCGTTCTTACAACACAGTTGCTTTCTGTTTGTGTGGAGTGTCGCTATGTACTATTGCTTGTGTTAGCATTGATAGACTCATCGCTATTCAAACACCCTTACGATACTCAAGCATTGTTACGACGCACAGAATAAGCCGCACATTAGTAGCAATTTGGACAATTTGCTTATTTGTGGCAAGTTCGCAGTTCTGGGAAGAAAGACTACTAACTGTTGCAGTTGCGATAGTGGTATGCATTTCTTTGAGTGTCTCCACTATTTCTCATGTTAGAATGTATAAAATCGTTCGTCGCCATCGAATCGAGATTGATCTCCAGCAGCAAACAGTCGAAAACAATGTCTCTACAATTAGCCTTCATAAATCTGCATTTAACGCTTTCATAGTTTTTACAGTACTTTTTGTCTGTTATTTTCCCTACATGGTTGTGTACGTTGTGTCTTCCGTTTCTGACATGGAAAATGTAACTGTCGCAAGATCGTTGTCTTCAACAGTGGTGTTTGCTAACTCCGCCTTGAACCCAATCGTGTATTGTTGGCGGCTACGCGAGATAAGACAAGCCGTTCTCCGACTTTTGAGGAACTATGTAAAGTGATTTAAAGGCTCTTTGTATTAACAACAATAACTACGAAAACTAGTGCTTGTTAGCACTTAATTAAACGGCACCAAGTCAAAAATAGGGGCATTCTAGAAACGATTAAACAACAGCATTTTAAGCCCAAGAAATAGCTGAAAAAAAAAAAAAAAAAACAAGAGAACAGGTGCGCAAAATGTCGTTTGGACATCTGATTCTTCTTAAGATATTCAAGGGAAGAACCGCAAGCGTAATATAAGTATATTGAGGTTATATTTGGCCTTCCTCGTTTTGTTCCTTTTTGGTATCTGTATGTCATAAGGCATCCTCGGAGACTCAGGTGCAGTTAGTCGGGTCGATAAAATGTTCGTGGTGAAAGTTTACTGGAAGATCGAGACGAGCCCCGGCTCGTCTTGATTCACCACGAACATTTTATCGACCCGACTAACTGCCCCTGGGTCTCCGAGGATGGCCATAAGGAGGATCGAAAGAAAATGACCAGGGAACAAAGAGAGACAATAACATCCCCACCCCCCCGCCCGGTTCACATCACCCCGCATCATATTTTCTGCGGTTCTAACTTGCTATAACGGACAGGTGTTACCAAACGTGTCTTCTAACAACAGCTCTCTGAATGCACTATCCTTGGAAGAACAGAAAATTTGGATTTTTCTTGTTTGAGGACAATTCTAAAAAGAACATCAGATTTTATGGAGCGTGATTTTAGTCTTTCTAGCGTACACGCGGTATTAATACTACACCCCTCTTTATGCGCGTTATATATGCCGTTCCAGAAAGTCTACTAGAAAGACTAATCTTGGGTGTTCCTAGTTTTAGCCAAAATAACAGATGAATCGAAGTTGCTTGCCCATACTACTCTCTCAGCTGCTTCCTTGGACAGTCTTTGCCTAGTTCCCAGGTCATTATTCCGCACTGCCTATGCGTTTCAGGTCACGTGGTCCGAGCGAATTTGTGAAATTATTTGACCGAGAAAGCCTGGAAAGACGCCTTCCAGGCGAGTACTGTCCGAGAATCATAAAAAATTCAGTTGTTTATTTAACACTGGAAGTGGATTCAAAAGTTAGGGCGACAGCTGTCTTCTTCGTTTTCTACTGAATGTTTTAAAAAGCTTTTTATCTGGAAACAGTAGAACGTTCTCCAGTTCATAAAAAACCACGCAAGCGCATTGAGACAAACTGTCAAACCAATCACATCATCCGGAAGAGGTAAAAGAGACAAATTACTCACAGAACTTGAAGCATAAGAAACTGTGTTAAAGTTTGACTTACCCAGAACAATTTTAAAGAGAAGCTATGAAAGATGATGTTGAACGAGTTATTCTGTTAACAAATGTTGCCGTGAACATCCCTCTGGCTTTGACCTCTGTCATTGGGAATTCTATGGTTCTACACGCAATACGGAAAACGCCATCTCTTCGATCGCCACTAACTTTTCTTATCTGTGGATTGGCTTTATCAGATCTCGCTGTTGGTACACTTGTACAACCTTTCTTTATAGCAGATATTTTGTACTCGTACTATCCAGGAAAAAGTTCAACAACAAAACAGGTAACAGAGCTTGGAGCAAAAAGAACTGTTGAAAAGCTTGACTCAACCATAAGAATAATTTCAAAGTGAGACTATGAGGGATGATATTGAACAAGTCGTTCTGTTAACAAATGTTGCTGTTAATGTTCCTCTTGCTTTAGCTTCTGTAAGTGGGAACTGTTTGGTGCTACGTGCAGTAAGAAAAATGCCATCTCTTCGCTCGCCGTTCACTTTTCTTCTTTGTGGATTGGCATTATCAGATCTGGCTGTTGGCGCTATTGTACAACCTTTCTTTGTCGCAAACGAGTTGGTAGATTTGTACGTCCGATCTCAGGGATTTCAAGATACATTTCGCCGTTCTTACAACACAGTTGCTTTCTGTTTGTGTGGAGTGTCGCTATGTACTATTGCTTGTGTTAGCATTGATAGACTCATCGCTATTCAAACACCCTTACGATACTCAAGCATTGTTACGACGCACAGAATAAGCCGCACATTAGTAGCAATTTGGACAATTTGCTTATTTGTGGCAAGTTCGCAGTTATGGGAAGAAAGACTACTAACTGTTGCAGTTGCGATAGTGATATGCATTTCTTTGAGTGTCTCCACTATTTCTCATGTTAGAATGTACAAAATCGTTCGTCGCCATCGAATCGAGATTGATCTCCAGCAGCAAACAGTCGAAAACAATGTCTCTATAATTAGCCTTCATAAATCTGCATTTAACGCTTTCATAGTTTTTACAGTGCTTTTTGTCTGTTACTTTCCCTACATGGTTGTGTACGTTGTGTCTTCCGTTTCTGACATGGACAATGTGACTGTCGCAACATCGTTGTCTTCAACAGTGGTGTTTGCTAACTCCGCCTTGAACCCAATCGTGTATTGTTGGCGGCTACGCGAGATAAGACAAGCCGTTCTCCGACTTTTGAGGAACTATGTAAAGTGATTTAAAGGCTCTTTGTATTAACAACAATAACTACGAAAACTAGTGCTTGTTAGCACTTAATTAAACGGCACCAAGTCAAAAATAGGGGCATTCCAGAAACGATTAAACAACAGCATTTTAAGCCCAAGAAATAGCTGAAAAGAAAAAAAAAAAAAACAAGAGAACAGGTGCGCAAAATGTCGTTTGGACATCTGATTCTTCTTAAGATATTCAAGGGAAGAACCGCAAGCCTAATATAAGTATATTGAGGTTATATTTGGCCTTCCTCGTTTTGTTCCTTTTTGGTATCTGTATGTCATAAGGCATCCTCGGAGACCCAGGGGCAGTTAGTCGGGTCGATAAAATGTTCGTGGTGAAAGTTTACTGGAAGATCGAGACGAGCCCCGGCTCGTCTCGATTCACCACGAACAATTTATCGACCCGACTAACTGCCCCTGGGTCTCCGAGGATGGTCGTAATGAGGATCGAAAGAAAATGACCAGGGAACATAGAGAGACAATTACATTTACCCCTCCCCTCCCCTCCGGTCCCCATCACCCCGCCTCATATTTTCTGCGGTTCTAACTTGCTATAACAGACAGGTGTTACCAAACGTGTCTTCGAACAACACCTCTCTGAATGCACTATCCTTGGAAGAACAGAAAATTTGCATTTTTCTTGTTTGAGGACAATTCTAAAAAGAACATCAGATTTTATGGAGCGTGATTTAAGTCTTTCTAGAGTATACGCGGGATTAATACTACACCCCTCTTTATGCCCGTTATATATGCCGTTCCAGAAAGCCTACTAGAAAGACTAATCTTGGGTGTTCCTATTTTTAGCCAAAATAACTGATGAAGCGAAGTTGCTCGCCCACACTACTCTCTCACCTGCTTCCTTGAACAGTCTTTGTCTAGTCCCCAGGTCATTATTCCGCGCTGCCTATGCGTTTCAGGTCACGTGGTCCGAGCGAATTTGTGAAATGATTTGACCGAGACGGCCTGGAAAGACGCCTCCCAGGCGAGGATTGTCCGAGCATCATAAAAAATTCAGTTGTTTGTTTAATACTAGAAGTGGATTCAAAAGTTAGGGCAACAGCTGTCTTCTTTGTTTTCTGCTGAATATTTTGAAAAGCTTTTTATCTGGACACAGTAGAACGTTCTCCAGTTCATAAAAAACCACGCAAGCGCATTGAGACAAACTGTCAAACCAATCACATCATCCGGAAGAGGTAAAAGAGACAAATAACTCACAGTAATTGAAGCATAAGAAACTGTTTTAAAGTTTGACTTACCCAGAACAATTTTAAACAGAAGCTATGAAAGATGATGTTGAACGAGTTATTCTGTTAACAAATGTTGCCGTGAACATCCCTCTGGCTTTGACCTCTGTTATTGGGAATTCTATGGTTCTACACGCAATACGGAAAACGCCATCTCTTCGATCGCCACTAACTTTTCTTATCTGTGGATTGGCTTTATCAGATCTCGCTGTTGGTACACTTGTACAACCTTTCTTTATAGCAGATATTTTGGTTCAGTTGTATGTTCAGTCTCAGGGATTTAAACATACATTTCGTCGTTGTTACAACACAGTTGGTTTCTATCTGTGTGGAGTGTCACTATGTACAATAGCTTGTATTAGCATTGACAGGCTTATCGCTGTTCAAAAACCCTTACGATATCCAAGTATTGTCACAAAGTACAGAATAAGCCGTCTGCTATTGGCAATTTGGTCAATTTCCTTATTATTGGCAAGTTCGCAATTCTGGGAGGAAAGACTACTGTTTGCTTCAATTGCATCTGTGGTAAGCATTTCTCTAATTGTCTCCACCATTTCTCACGTCAAAATGTACAAAATCGTTCGTCGCCATCAAGCTGAGATTGGAGTTCAGCTGCAAGCCGTCGAAAACAGTCTTACTATAATTAACATGAAGAGCCTTCATAAATCTGCATTTAACGCCTTTATTGTTTTCGTAGTACTGTTTGTCTGCTATTTTCCCTATCTGGTTGTCTACATTGTGACCTCCGGTTCTAGAAATAACAGTGCGACTGTCGCAAGGTCGTTGTCTTCAACAGTTGTGTTTACAAACTCTGCCTTGAATCCAATTGTGTATTGTTGGAGATTACGCAAGATAAGGAAAGTTGTAGTGCAAATTATTTATGACATGTGCAGAGTGATCAAAAGGTAGCATCAACAGCAATAACCGCGATGTACTAGAGCTTCTTAGCAATCAATTAAACAACAGTGGGCAATTCGGAAATGAGCAACAACTCCCTACAATAACCGTAAAAGGCTTAAAAGTAACGAAGACTCAAGAAAACAGCTAAGAAAGATGTGGTTCGGGCATAGCTGTAACAAGGGAACGTGATAAAAACTTGTTTTTCATCATTTCTAAGTATTGCGGATTCGTATCAAGATATTCAAGGAAGAGGCCGCAAGCATAATATAGGTATATCAATGTTATATTGGGTATTTATCGTTTCGTTCCTGTTTTGGTGAGAAGGGTAAGAAAAAAACAGACGAGACAACAAAAAGAGAGACATATTTCAGCAAGATATATAATGAATATTAGCATGTTAGAACTGCAGAAATATGAACGTTTTTTTTAAGGGCGTGAAGGGTACGTGACCACATTATCATTTACGCAAACGATCCGATCAAAAATCTCGCGCACAAAAATTGAGAAGAGATTAAACATGACCTTGTGGGTGAAGGACCCACTACAGACTGCCACCCAAATAAGCTCAATAAAACAATTTAATTAAATGGTACAAAAAAATGCGTCACGTCAAACGAGATTCTTCTTTTTTTTTAAAGTTTCCCAAACCGAAACGCGCGAGCTATTTCATTCCCTCACCAGAATTTTACGCTTTACAAAACAGTTAGTACTGCAGACATACTCGGGAGTTGGTGCTGGTTTGCATGCATTCACTATAGGCACTGGTGCATGGTCTTTGCCTTACATCTTTAGGCTTTTTGTAAGCCACAAACAAGTGCAATGGACAATAAAACTAGTACAGTAACATACTCAACATGCTAGATTAAAGACTTGTTTGTAAGTTCCATGTCAACAGAGGTTCCATTGATCTGGCAAAAATTTCATGTAAGCAAATGTCCTTCTACTTTGTCAGCAACTCTTCGAGCTACTGTAAGAAGTGTAATGAAATGTGTTAAGTAATGTTTAAAGAACGATCAGCCGTGTATTGCGAGTTTTTTGAACGGCTTCAAAATCTCTGATATAGATCAACTCGTTTTTGCACTAATATTTAGATTTAGGGTTATTTTATTTGGTCTAAAAAGTTGAACGTAAAGTTTAACCGGGTCTTTATCTGATATACAACATGTAAAGACACTCATTTTTTAAACATCTTTGTTTTTTCTTTATGAATTATTAATGAGTTTTTTAACTCTGAGCAGTGTACCGTGCCCTAAACTGTTTTGTTCGTTTTTATGCCTTCTAACTGATAGAGCCTGCGCCCATCAAGGCTGAAATCACCCACACGTATCACCTGATCCTATATTTAAATACGGTAACATCCACTACAACGTATTGTAATTTCTTTTCCCGACCTTTACCTTACTTCCTCACAAAGGCGGAAGTTAAGTACCACTACAACCAGTCCGTCCTTGAAATGGCAAAGACAAAAAAGTAGCACTATCTTGTGTAACGTCCACCAGCTCAAATAGCTGACCACATTTAATAAATAAATAGCATCTAAAAACTGATTGTAGAAAACCGTAGTGGTTAAGATATCCCATATTTCTTAGCCAAGTCAAGGATATCGTCCTCGGACAGCTGAAACAGCTCCTTGGTTTGTCGTACGCTGTTTATAAGGTCACTGATAACTGCAACGCAACAACCTGGTGTTTATGACTACACTCTATATAGATAAAGCAGGGATTAGCTTGAGAAACGCCGCTGTGTATCAAGAACGATCCCAGTAGTAATAATGGTCACTTCCGACAGTAGCCAATCAGCGATCAGTATTTTCGTTACATGACAAAAAATTAATGGGCTAATCAGCTTTCCAGTTGAGCTGATGACGTCACAAATCCGTTGTCCCAATAAATCAGAATGCAACGCTGATTGGTCCATTTTTGTCACGTGACCAAAATACTGATCGCTGATTGGCTACTGGCGGAAGTGACGCTTAGTTGAGACCAGTCAAATCGGATAAGCAGTTGGGACAAAATTCAATTGATATTAAAATCTCAACAAACGAATATTTGAATGCGGGTGTGTTGAGATATAATCTTATTTCACGGTTCACGTAAAAGCGGTTTTCTTAAGCGTTTCATTAGATGCGTTAACACAAAAAGACGCGCGCATGTCTTGCGTGCCATTTGGACTCCTTTTTCCTCCTTTTTCACTCGCGCAACGGCTCGTGAAATTACCTATAACAATTTTGAAATATCACTCGTGGTATTTATGCCAAATATCACTACTAATCATGCTGTTACCTATACTAACACCATGATATTCCCCCCATTTCCTAGCAATATTGTGTCATTGTTTGGGGGGAAGGGAAAGTAACAAGTTTTATTAATACCATGTGAAGCCGTCCCAATACAACACTTCTGACCAGCAAGAACAGTGCGTAGGTGTCACCTGAGAATTTTTCTTATTTCAACGTTTTATGATTACTTTTACCTTTCTTGTCCTTGTCTGAAAAGAACATGGTGGCCATTCCAAACCGTTTCACTTCAGCCAGGTTCTTGAGCTCCTCATACACAGGTAGACCATTCCTGCAAAATGAAACCAAAAATGAATAAATTAAGAGCAATACAGTAATTTTATTGCCCCGACAAAGGTGACGCTCCTTAATCCAGTCGTTGGGTATTCTGTGATTTCGTGGGCAGTCTGTGTGTGTTCCAAAGCGACAGAAATCGATTTGTCGGTTCCAAATCTGATTAATCTCTATCTTTTGCATACATTTCGTAGAACAAAGCCTGATCAGGAAATTATTTACTATTGTTATGCAAAACAGCGATACGATCTTTGAATACTACTTGTTAAATAGACAAAAATAGAAATAAAAGTACCCAAAATATCTCTAACATCTAGTCCACGCATCAAATATTGATTGGTTAGATGTTTGATATAGTGCGTTTTCATGCATAGGAAACTGTTCCTCAGCACACAATACTTCTCGGGTCAATGGACGCTTTAAATTGACCTTGTGGGTCATTTTTTTTGCCATCACCCTACAGATCACGTAAACGATTGCAAATTAAACTAAACTACTCACATCAAATAGAAGTCCCATAGAAGATAGATTATTTTCACCAACATATCAGGCTCAATTGATTGTTGAAACAGTTTGGGATACAACTTCGGTTTAATATTCTACGAAAAAGATAATGTAGACGTTATAAAGACATTTCACTATAATTATGGAAGACATGTTTACCGTATTTCCTCGAATAATAGCCGTCCCTCGATTAATCGCTTCCCTTGAATAACCGCCCGCCTTTGACGGAAATGTTTAAAATAATTGCCTCCCTCAAGTAATCGCCCTCCCCGCGACCCCTCTAGGTTAAAAAATTCATTGACGAGGAATAAAGATTATTGTTAAGGGAGAGCGCCAGGGGGGCAAGCTTGGTAAGGGATGAGGGCAATCCCGTACCCCATCCAACCAATGTGGCCTGGGTCCGAGTCCAACTCTCGACGTCACTGTTGTTAGGTCTCTCCGTCCCTCCAAGGGTTTTTTTTTTTTCTCCAGGTTCTCCGGTTCTTCCTTCTCCTTAAAAACAACATTTCATATTCTAATTCGACGTGGAAGGTGTTTTAAATACACCTTTTTACCGATACATATTGCCCGCCGTATCGGTAAAAAGGTCTTTTAGCTGGGGCCACTTAAAGGGCCACATGTACATCACTTTCAGTTCACGTGTCATCCACGCTAAACAATGTTAACATATGAAATGTAGCGTTTAAAATGGTTTTAAAATAAGCCAACCTTAAAGTAAGCAAAAAGCCTGTCCGGTTGTTTTTGAAGTGCTCTCCAATCTGCTTGAAACTGTCCCGATGACTTTGGCACGGCAAATGTCTTGTCAGCGGACTTGGATCGGGAGGTTGATGAGGGGGACTGGGGCTCAGATGATGAAGGTGAAGCTGATGATGACGATGATAAAGTCGATGATAGCGAAGATGGCGCTGTTTTGAGGGGAACGTCCGTTGATTCTAAGGTTAAGTTTTTGGTCCTTTCGTCAGGTCTCGCCAACAGTGCTTGCTGAGTGTTTGATCTCGTTTCTTCGGTAGACAAGGACGCTGTCGCTTGTGCTTTAGTAGAAATGTCAGACGAGTCATCCTCACTTTCGCTCTCTGTGCCAATTTCTTCGATGACAATTCTCTTCAAAGGTTTCTAGGATACAAAAAATCAAACTATCAAGCCAAATCCACAAAACACGGTCTGTGTGTACATGTGTTAGACAGGGGTGGTGTTGCCTTGAACTGCATTGTGGGACTGATTTGGAACGAATAAGTCATTTTTATTTGCATGAGAATAAAAGAAAATCACTTTCGTATCAATGGCTTCGCATTAGCCTCGCTTTGAAACAGAGGCTTGAAATATAAGCGGCAGTTACGGTAGTACGTTTAAGACACGAGGTGAAAGTAGTAAAACACGAATTTTAAGTAAAGTTAGCAGTCTGTTCATTTGTCCATCAATACTTAGGCTTTTGGGAACACCATTAAGATTTTGACTAACAACTTGAAGAGCGACATGTACAGGTGTTTAAGACTCAACTATTTTTTACAGGATTTTAAAACACTCATTAAGCGTCAACGTCAACTTCCAACTTAAAGTTGTGTAATAAATTATTATCCATTCTAAAAAGAACATCAAGAAAACAGGCTTACTTTAGACTTGACTGGTGTTTTGTTTGCGCAATTTTCACTTGCTTGCTTTTCACTTTTCTTTTCCCTCTTCTTGTCCTCCAGCAACTAAACCCAAACAAATAAACACTTGAATTTCTCCTCATAAGATCACGTTTAGTTTAGTAAGACCCCTCTGTTTTATAGAGCATCGAAAATGTAACGAGAAAAATCAACTAGGAGAATCGAACCACAGAGTTCTCTACTGAGAAGAGTTCCAAGCACTTTACTATTCTGGACAGAATTCAGTGCATACAGTTTCTAAGAACTTTGATCTGGGAATGATCCTTCAAATGCTCCAAGTTATGTCGCACATGCAGCAAACATGCACATGTACATGTATCGGAAATGTAGAGAGAAGTCCCGACCTGGTGTCTATTGGTAGCTAACATACATGTACATACATACATACATACATTATTATATAAACGTTGCTATTTAAGGGGGTACAAGGGCGTTCAAGACAACGGAAAATTTTAAAACTGTGACATCAAAAAGTGGATGCCGTTGCTTACAACAGGAGGTCGCTTACGAGAGGTTCCAGCTATGATCTATTACTGGGAACATTTTGTTGTTTTTGATAGGTTAGCCTGTGTAGCTAAAAGTTTAGAAGATAGTCACTTACAAGGGGTAACTGCACCATAGTGTTTCGGCTTTTCATGTACTTTGGGTGCATGTTAGATGCTTACCTTCTTTATGCTCTTCAGCTCCAACTGGGCCTGTTTATTACTTGGCTCCAGTTTAAGCACCTCTTTGTAGTCAGCCTCGGCCTGTTGAACTCGCCCCATCTGAAAGCGGGCTGCACCCCTTCTCAAGTAAGCTTTAGTGTAGGAACTGTCCAGAGACAAGGCTTGTGTGCAATCAGCTTCTGCTGCTCCATATCTACAGTAAGTGCAGAAAATTGAATGTATATTGTGTAATAATGGGAGTGCTGGGAGTGCAAGCTCTAGGAAGGGAAGTGAGATAGACCGGGGTTCTTAACATTTACATGGGAAAACCAGTGCAATTTTTGCCAGTCCATTTCGGAAGCTTTGGATGGGCTTTGGTTTGGGGCAATGCAGTTTTCCTAGTCTTTTATAGTATGTTCAGCTGATTTGGATAAACTTTGTAGCTGGTTGTTCTTCCACCACATCAAATTTTGTAGTTTTATGATTATGCACAAGATTTCCGCTCGCGTGGTTTGTTTCAATGATAAACGTCCCAGGAATAAGAGAAATGTTTTTTACCCCAGCGACAGTTGAACTCACGACCTGTGGATTAGATGTACCAGCACTCTAATGAAATAAGCTAAGAAACCAGTCTCTTGGGCTCAATGATGCTCCTTGATAGGAGCAAAAAATACAGGAAAATCACAACAAACCTCTGTAATTTCAGCAGACACATGGCTCTGTTGGCAGGCAGTACAGCATTACTTGGGTCAAGTTGAATGCCTGTGGTGTAGCAGTGAATAGCCTCTTCATACTTGCCGTCTTTGAAAAGAGCATTTCCCTACAGAAAATGATGAAACATTTACAGCCAACTCTCTTAACAGACACCTCTATACATTGTGTAAGATGGACCCCTAAGTAAAATGGACAACTAGAGTTGGTCCCTGCCTTTCTTCACTAACTTTATTACTCAGACTCTATAAGATGGACATCTCTCTAAGACGGACACTTAGCACCCCTCCCAAAGATGTCTGTCTTAGAGAGATTTAAGGGTGGTTACCATTTTCAAAAACTGGATACCGTATTTATTTGATTAAGCACCCAACCTCAAATAAGTGCACACCTCGATTAAGTACCCATCCTGTTGACAGGAAAATTTAACAACTGCCCAGCCTAGAATAAGTGCCCACACCCACCCACAACCCTCCTCCTCACAACGACAACATCAACAACAAAAAAACTGAAGTGGACAAGAAGAGTTGGTTGTTATTTATTTCACCCATTTGCAGACATTACGATGAGAGACATCTACGTACTAGGCAACACCAGAGAGTTCGCTTAATGATCTTACTGACTAGGACTGAGATAGAAATTGACTAGGTACAGTGTTACTAAGAGATTTCCCAGGAGACCGAGTTGTATGGATATATATATTTTTTAAGACAATTCAATGAACAGTTAAAATTCTTCCCTGGAACATCTTCATGCTTTGTTATTATTCACTGCTTTGTTGGAAAATTAACTTACTAGTTGCTTAGAATAATCAAAATTTAATAAGCACCCAGCCTCAAAAAAGTGCCCAGGGTGCCTAATTGAATAAATACAGTATTATGAAAGAGAAAAGCTCTTCTGATAATTCTGCTGTCTGCTATCACACAATTTTTGGGTCTAGAATAAAAGGACAATGTTAAAAACAAAGCAAAAACATGGCTTTTAAGTCACAGTGAAAGACACTATTTTCATCAACTTGTAAGTTTAGTCAATAATTAACTGAAACAATACAAACCTTGTCCTTTTCAAAAAGTGCCTTTTGCAAGCGTCTCTCATTTTCAATGTCATCATCTGCCTCATCACTTTCCTCCTCAGAGCTTGGAAATGTCTTCATCTCCTCCTGTTCATCCATTTCCTTTAAAACCTTATCCTGAAAAATTAATTAAAGAAATAACGTTTTAACAAAGAACATCAGGCATGCAGATATAATAGACCTATTCGACTAAGGCAATGTTGTACCCAATTCAAACCTTTTGGGAATAAAATGTTTTGTTTCAGGAATTTCCATATCAATTAAATGTGAATGCCACACTATGATGCAAATACAATACACAAAGAATCTTAACCTCAGGAGATTTGAATTGGGCACAACAATGAGTTAGCCGAAAAGGTCTAAGGTGAAATGCAAAAAGTATCAGTAGTGACACTGGGCAGGCCTAAAGACCAATCTGCCTTTGAGGATATGAATAATAAATTCTCATATGATTCTAGAATTATACAACGTAATTGTACTGTGCATCAGACACCAGAAACTTACCACATCAAACTTATCCCATGATCTGTAGTCATATGAACTTATTCGTGCTTCCCCCTTTGACACATTATCCTTATTAGAAGCTGATGGCTGCTCCTTCTTCTTCTTCTTCTTCCTGTTAGATTGATTCCTGATGGGAGGAAGGCTCTGAAGCAGAAAATTTAATTTGTTTCAAGGACCAGGTCGAGGCATGTCATTTGAGTGGTACTTTGTAAATAATTATCATACAATCTTGCTCTCAACAAACAACCCTGAACAACGGACACCTCCTTAAACAGTTCGAAACGATTCCACAAATCCTAATAAATACTAGTAACACCATTTTGACCTCCGAGGACATTAAAAACTGCCAAGTGTAATTACATGTGGAGCTTGTATTTTACAACCATTAACATCTTTAACACACGATGCATGGTACGGTATGGATGTTCTACTTTTTATCCGCACCCCCCTTAAGATGGCGGGTTTTGGAATAAGGAGGTTTGAATTTTTTCTTCAAAGAAGCCCACAAAATATGGACCCTTCGGACAAATTTTTCAAAGGTGCTGACAAAAAATAAACCCTTCGAATTTCATTTTTCAAAGGGTGCCGGCAATAATCTGGAGGGTTGCCGGTTCGGATTCCAGTCATCCTTAGAGGGGAGATGCGGATAAAAAATCGAACGTCCCAAAGAATACTGGCACCTCAAATCTGTTCATGTACATGTAAGCTTCCAAAAAACTTACCGATTCCGAAACCACGGAGCTCGAAATTAAGAGGATGAACTCTAGGGAAAGATCTAGCGATAAGCTGCTTCTATACAACGAACTTTAAGCTTAAATAATTTAAGCTTAAAATTCGATGCATAGAATTTCTGAGTCAGTTGAAAAAACAGAAAAATGTGAAGTCAGCAAGTTAAACCCAAACCTGTTTGTGAACTGTCTTTGAGTTGAGGAGTTCATTATCCTTGGTCTTCATTTCGTCCTCCCACTTGTTTAAATCTTGCAAAATGTCTTGCAGTTCTTCTGCATTTTGTCGAATATTCATTTGCAGCCTTAACGCGTCCGCCATCTTGGTTGCTTTGTAACCTCACAGTCTTTGATAAAGTCATTTCATGCTCAATATATGATGGGGGTTTTTGAGTTCGCGCGCTTTGTGCGGGACTTAGTCAAAGGTGTGCCTTTCAGTTTCCGATATTTATGTTGTCGCTTAGGCGTTGTTTCGTTTGTTCGTTTTTATTATATATTTTTAGGAAGTTTACAAAAGTCTTCTGGGTTAATTCATTTCATTGCGATATTTAAAATCTGATCGATTTTTCGACAACTTTGGTTGGCTTCATGGGGATAATCTCGTACCCAGATCCCTCGCTTATCTTGTCTCCTGTCGAAGTGCAGTCTCTAATCCAATCAGATTACAATTGAATATTCACCTTTGGTGGCCATTTTGAAATTTGTGGTGAGCAGCTTATGTAGCCGGGAACCGAGGAATCTTCGGAGCCGCTCGTGTCTCTTCATATTTAACTCGGCAGACGATTATATCTTCCGAGAGTTTTCCAACTGTCCCAATATATCTGAGCTCCAGGGGCCTGTTTCTCGAAAGTTCGGGTAACTTTGCGTGCGCGGAAAGCTGCTTTGTGTTTGCCGCGTTTATATTCAAGATCAAGGTTTCAATAATTTTGAAAATAATAAAATGAAACTATCAGTTAACGAAGCAAAATTGACTAATTTATGGGCTAGGAACTGTGGTACTATTCAAAAGGTTTTGATTTTAAAAGTTTCCGGGCCTTTCGAAAACGGGTCACGGTCCCAGACCTTGCATCACTTGACCGCAAAATTCAAAATGGCAACCACAGAAAACAAATTCTAAGCATCGTAAAGTAATTAATCTTCATTTAAACATGATAAACTGGTTGGATATGTGAGTTCCCTGTGGCATAGTCCAGCTAAGGTCAGGTTGAGTAAGTAATAAATAGCAATAAATTCGCTTGATACTTCGGTCACTGGAGAACATGTTTTATTTCAGCATACCGTTAATTTGATTAACGTGTTACAGTTATCTAATCATACTGATGCCGGACTATTTATCCAATTTGATATTTTCGACCATTGCCTTGATTCCTTCAAATGCCTCCTTTGCGGTAGGTTCTATAAGTCTAGGCGGAAGAAGGAAACCATATTTCCCGGTGTCTCTCAGCTCCATTGAAAATGTGTACTTAACATTTAAATGGCCATAGATATAGTCCTTTGTTGTTCCCGATTCCTTATCTGTTTAAAAGAAATGAAAGATAGTATTTACTAGACACGCACAAAAAAAATGAGGGGTGGAGGAACGATATGAGATGTTTCTCTATTCTCAGACAACGCTTTTGATTTTTGCCTGGCTAGGTTTTAATCTATAGCTACCGTCTCCCTCTCGGAGAGAAGAAGGGAAATAAACTTCAACAACTGATCAAAAATGATGAGTTCCTCAATGCAAGAAAATAGATATTTTGTTACGTACATAAGATATGAGAAGCTTGTCCAAATATGTAACTAGTATTGTAGCCACCACGAGATTTGATTGCGTTGGCCATTGCCATGGCAACCCTCTCCTGCAATAAAAATAATAAAGGAACTATTATTCATTCTTTTGTAGATGAGTGCCTTGCAACACTGCTTGCTCAATTCATTTGATATAACTGTAGCATTAAAGTGTTAATGCTTTGGACGTTAAACACTAAATTAATCACTCCTAGGCCAATGGAGATGTAGGGCGGTTCAAATGAATCAAAGGTGGAGTTTGTTGTTGTAGCCAAAGAGAACAATCGTCATTTCGCTACGCGCCGGCGTATGGCTAGTGGTTTGCAAAAATGTCGGCTGTTTTCTTCTCATGCTCTCTTTGTTATTGTTGTCTGTTGTTGGTGTCGTCGCTTAAACTATATCGTTATTTACTGTATGAATTAGTATGAATCACTGCAAAATATAAACTAAGATTATGGTAAGTCTTTCAATCATAAATAACCATATATGGTTTTAGATGGTCACATAGCACAAAATTTAATAACACACATAAAGAAGGCTCAATAGTCAGGAGGATTCGATGAGTTTATAGTTAGTCTTATCAGCCTTTCAAAACTTGTTGCATGTATTTTCCAGGAGCAAACGGTTTAACTTTTGCTAGATTCGGGCCAGTCAATTGTAAAACATTATTTCAAAATTTAATAAAACTAACTTAACTTGAAACTTGATAACTTGATAAACTTGATTAAGTGAATTTAAGGTTAATTAAGTACAGACTATTTCCTTCTTTAGCTGAAAGGGGGGGCAATCTCAAAAACTTTTTTGTTTAGTCTAAAAATAAGGAGGGGCGGCCCCTCCCCCGGACCCCTACCCTGGATCCGCCACTATTTTTATATTCCTTACCATTTCGATATGGTCTTTAGTTTGCTCCTTTGTATATCCCCATGGAAACAACAACATCTGGCCATACGAGTGAATATCCAGGTAGCCAACCAGCCTTTTCTTTTGTGACTCGAGGAACCTAGCAACACTTTGAACCTCCTTTTCTGACAAAGGCTCTTCACCGTGGAAAGCCTCGCTACAAGGATCACTGCTTGCTCCTCTCACTTTATAAAAAAAAATTCAAAGAAACACGGTTGAAAAACAAGCCCTAAACAACAAGTTTTACTGTTGTTGTGTTTTTTTTTGTGCCGGCCTCCAGGGCTGCAACCTAAACTGGGATTTATTGTGCTGTTGATCGTTAATTGATCTTTGTATAGCCGTTGAAGGCCAGATATGCTTCAGTCACAAGAGGGTATCACCTTGATCCCCTACTTATCGAATGACACTAACCTTTCCTTCTTTCTTTCATTCTGAGGTTCGTTGAAGTTAACTAGAGCGGCAGTAGCACACAGCTTCTTAGCAAGAAATTTATCACCGTCACATGTACGTTCTTAGCTTATTTCTCGAATTTTCAGACTTGTCAGAAACACTGCCATAACGGAAAATTTTTTCTCAAAACGATAAGTTTGAGAAACTTTACTGATTGGCTCAGTAGCAGTAATCTCTTCTGTGTAAGAAGAATAGTGACTCACCTCCCCAATGAAAACCCCAATTCCGATTAAGGTCCACACCAACACATTTCGAGCCATGTTGTCTACTTCTGTTTTTACGCCACATGCGATCCTTTGAACAAATAAATTAGATACCGCCTACATTAATAATGCGGACGTCGAAGCATTAACTAGTATAGTCTTTTAGGTAGACCACTCGATAAAGTAAAGTTCTAAGCACATCTGACTAGTATACTTCTTCTGAGAAATCTATGTAAAAAGAAAAAAAAAGGGAGAAGTCTAATACTTTGTTAAAATGATTCCCTCTTTTCCCACTTTTGTCACTTTGGAATAATGATACTAAAGCTAGTGTTATCTTCCTCCGATCCGGCTTCAGTTTTTGATAGTTTTTAAAGCGTATGCTTCGTTTGCTCATAGATCTTACGTGTCTTTCTTATCAGTCAAATTCACCCCTCTAATTCCTACCGCATTTGTTAAGCCTGTACCTAACTGTTGTTCTATTGGACTTTACTCTTGTTCATCGCACACACTTTAAATTCTTTCAATCTTGAGTGCTTTCTCTCTTCATACTTTCTTTACTATATTTGTTTAACTGGTGTTTTCGTCTCATTACTAATAAAGCTGCACTCGTTATTCTCGAGGGTAGATCTTCATCTAGGAAAACTCTGCGGACTACTTAAGTTCCCCATCAATTAGCTAGGCTCTAATTATATCAGGAATCTCTACCTACCTTTGGCCGGTTTAAATGGAGGTGGGGGACCCCAGGTTCACTGGTGAGGTAACCCGTCTGTCCATATAATCTTCCATTTTAATTTGATCACGTTTACATGATGGGTGGGGTGACCCGCCGCAGGTTACCTCACCTACCAGGAGTCTCCCAACTCCATGTAAACAGGCCCTAAATTTATCCTACCTTTTCCCAAGTGTAAACATATCCATCTACGTTTAACACCGGCAAAATGACAAAATCGACTTTATTCAGGACTTCCCTTACTGAATCATCATCTGGGTACCGAGAGATTAGCTGAAGCATAAGAATATTATGGTTAGTTATAACGTTTTAATTCAAAAAGTGGCGTGTCGACGTCGAGGAATATTGTGATATCGGCATGGGGTAGGTTCCAGTTTTATTACTGTCCCCTCCGTAAGATAATTTATACAATTTGCAAAACAAACACGAAGACGCAATATACACTTAAAGACGATGATTAATTAAATATAATATAGGAATCACGTGATGTGGTTAAGATGGACGGCCGCGTGTTTAAGTGCTCCGCGTAACATTTCGTAAATTTCTGATGTTTAAGTGTTCCTTCTGCTTTTTTCTATTTGTTTTGTTATCTTGTTTCGTGTGTCACATTATGCCTGAGTTAACCTCTCTTCGTAATCGTTATGTACATGCCTTGTTTTTTGTTTTTTTGTTTTATGTTAGTTTAAACTCTATTTACTGTATTGTAGTGTCTTCACTGTTATTTAGTCCATCTATATATAATTCTTGTTTTGTAATATGTCTTCAGCTCCCCCCGCCTCGATTAGTTCATAAGCTATTTGCGGGTGGGAAAGTAATGTAATTAGTTATTTTCCAATTTTCAATAAAATTTGTTGTTTTGTCGTTTTTTGTTATAATTAAAGATAAAACTTATAAAATGATAATATAAATCATTTTATACAATTGTGTTTTCAACAAAATTCTTTATCGTCAGATTTTTGTACGCACACGCTATGCTGGGATTTCATGGTGGGTGGGTCACAGGGGTTAATCGTGGGTTGGTAAAATAATTCTGATGTTCCGCCCAATATTTCCGTCATAGGTTAGCTTTAGTTTATTTTGTCCCTGGTTACAGCAAAAAAAAGAAAAAACAGAATGGGCGCATAAGTTAAAGTTTATCTTTGAGTCAGTTCCACACAACCCCGAACCATCGATTGTTTCAAAGCTATTCTGGGTTTTGACCCAAACGAAAACATTCGTATGTATAGTTTCATGATATCTACAGATATATGTAAACTTAATAACTAAATGTATAATCAGCCTAACTGCTTGAAAATAACAAATGTAATAATGGACAGTGTAATCAAAACATATCCTGACCTGTTCAATGACGTACATGCATGTTGCTGGGGACACCCATTCTCTCGCGTGAATTCCACAGTTTATAAATACAAGTGGCTTGGCAATATCTTGATTTGCCTTAATCTAAACAATAAAAAATGGCAACATTATCTTTTCTCCAGGACAAATAGACCAATGAATGATTTCAAAAGTTCGCGCCTTGAGGAAAATTGAAAGACTGTCCTGCAACTGATATGCATATATTCAATCAACTTAACTTTGCTAACCATTTTTTTTCTGTTTTACCTCACCTACACTGATACGATAAAAAGTTTGACCTGTTTCTGAAACATTTTATTAATCATCCGAGTAACTAGAAATTCGCAAATTCACTTTGTACGGTTGCAAGGTTTCATGTTTTTATCACGGATGTGGCAAAAAATTCTTACCTTCACTGCAAACAAACGTCGTCCCTCGTATGATGTTCCTACAGAAAACAGGCGGACTCGTCGTTTATACTTATCAGCCGTCTCTCTGAGCAGAGTGAGGATCTTCAAGGATATATTGAAAATCAGAATTTATTATACTTTTAGTAAATTATTTCATCAAGTAAAGCGACAAGAAAATGACCTATTCTAGATTCGCCCCCAAAGTAAGGAAATCCAGAATCCTCGGCCTTGGAATCTGGAATACAGCTCAAGAAATCCGGAATCCCATTAACGATTGGAATCAGGAATTCAAATTCCACCGATGGAGAACCAGGATCCAGAATCCACTGTCTGAAATCCAGAATCCAAGACTGTCTAGCTAGGATTCCCTTACTTAGGACGACACAATTGATAGTTTTCGAATACGCGTGTTGAATCATGAAGCCCTAGGAACGTCTGTGTTGGGCGAGTTTAACTGTAGTCTTGATCGAGTTGTTTCCGTAAAAATCCCCGGAATATAACTGATATTGGGGCTGACTAGAATTTTCTACAAATAACTCTAGCATACAGCAACTCTCGGGTGACATTTTCAAAATCTTCCTCATTCTCTATGTATGTATCTTTAGATTATGATCCCACCTCGTCTAACTGATGGTACTTTTCAGACCATGACTTCAGTCTTTGCTTGGTACCATGATTTCCTTTTTGTTGCTCGATGACGGATTGCACCTCTGATATTTGGACGCTGAACTCAAGACCAAGGCTTTTCAAAAATCAATAATCATAAATCATAAATCAACAATAAGTAAACTAACTGATTAATCAATTGATTATTTAATTACTTAATTGATGGCTGGATGGATGTATGAACGGACGGATGGACGGACGGATGGATGGATGGATGGATGGATGGATGGATGTGACTGTTAGATCGGCGTTTTAAATAATAGCAGCACCCTTGGCGCGCTAGAAAACAAGTTGCGTTTAATTATTTTAAGAGTTTTAAAGACTTACCCAGTGAAGTTTTTCGCATTCACGTGATCCAACAGAAACACCAAAAACAGAAGAAAACGGTGAATCAAAGGAAGGCGAAGATTTTCATTTTTCATGTCTTGGTTTTCGTAGGAGGGCAGGCTGCACAGTGAATCAGTCCTTAAGACGCACTACTATGACCAAAACAAAAGGAATGAACAAGGAAAAAATAATAGATATACACTTCCATGATTTCTATATGAAATCAATGACCCGCTGGCTATACTGTTTTCATACAACCAATGAAGACATTCTTTTCTAGTTGTTATTATTATTTCCTTCGTTCGAGCTTTGGGAACGAATTGAGGAAGTTGTGGTCTCAAAGCGTTTCTTAAGGCTTAACACAACTTAGGAAGTTCTGTTAATATAACTGGACAATTAGGAAAAAATAATTTATATTCACTTCAATTTTAAAAAAATATACTCTGAAAATAAGTTGTGGGGGGAATCTGCCGTAACTTAGCAAGAGCGAAAAAAATATTTGGAATTCAGATCTGAACGTATTTCGCTTTCAATTTAGATAAGGCAAGAAACTTTAGATAAGACAATGCTAAAGGGAAAGAAAAAATGAATTAATAATGCATGTTGCGGCGAAAATACTGGCAATTCGAAAAGCAAATCTGGAATCACTGTAACTAGGAACAAATTACATTTCCTTTACTTCAGACAGTTGGAAACCAAAAACCGACTGCATTTATAAAATATCCAAAACATCTTCCTTATTACATAGAATTGTTGATGAATTTGTGGACCATATTTGGTTCTTTCACTTAAGGATAACTGCTAATGGATCTTGTTTAATATATTTCAAATTATACAGTGATTGACATGTAGTTATATAGTCTGAACAAACCATTTCTAAAAACATTTTTTTAAAACAGGGAGAGAGAAAATTAATTCTCGGTGATCCGCTTGCACAATTCAGAATCGAACTCATGTCACCGAAGAGTACGTTTCGAATATGACTAAGACATCGCATATACTACAGTGCTGATTGTCGCATGAATTTGGAAATATAATAATTATAGTAACAAAGATATAAGTAAAAATAAAAACTTTCAAGTTTTAACAATTCATAATTTACCTCAGAAGGAATCAGCTGCTATAACCTGGGCTTGCAATCGAACATGACATCGTAACAGCGCTTATCGGCTCAGTTATAAAATTTCTCTAACGCGTTATGAACTCCGTTGACCAGAGCAGGTGCGCATAGAAGGGTTGACTAAAATGGAACTTGAAATACCTGTTCGATTCATGGTGCTAATACATTACATTTGCCTCATTGTTGAATTGAAAGTCAGTCTCAGAATTGAGTATAATCAGCACGAAATACAAGCCGCCTGCTTTGATCTCACGGCGCTGTCCTTGAATCGGACGAGGTAATGCAAGGAATAAAATTGACAAAGAAAACTTTACCTTATTTTAAAAAGCAGCTTATTTGAGATATTTTCAAACAATGATTTCAGAAGATTATGAAAGAAGATATTATTAAACCCATATTCTTACGTCCTGTACACCAAAATCTGAGAGCGGATACAACACTGGGATGTCCATTTTTAATTCTGTTGTTTTTTAATTAAAAGAAAACGTACAGCTAGACAAATCATGTATTAACACTGAACCTTGCCATTCGATAGAGCGTACGTATATTATATTTTCCCTCTCTTTGATAAAGGAATTATAATTGCTATCCGTACATAAGTCTGTAATGTGTCCTTGTGAGTCCACTTTAAAGTGTACCTACATAATTATGCAAATTGAATGCAGCATTAAGATGAAAAGCACTGCAGTTTGCACTGTAGTAAAGCCAGAATAAATGAGATGGATTAACGTAAAGGTCATTAAATTAACCCCTATAACATTGTCGGTATTTTTAAATCTGAGTTTATTTTTAATTGCATCGTTGAGCTTTCACAGATTTATATCAGATTTATAGCGATATTTCGATTTCAATAGTTCAGTTGTTTCTACTAACAACCAACTTCCTATGATCGTAAAAAATTATGTATAAAATATATTCGTGCAAACTCGATGCAAACTACGCACAAAAGATGTATGTCTATTTTTTTCTAGACAAAAGAACTCCTGTGACCTTGCGTTCATTATATACAGAGTAGTCCTGTTTTATTGAGACTGGTGCATTTCCCGAGTTTTCAGTTTGTTTTTGTTAAATAATGAAGTCGGACTGTTAAGAGAATGCGCGCTGTAAGAGCGAGTTCGGCAGTTTCAGTTATTTCCAGTACATGTGATTAAAAATCTGAATTGAAAATCTTTTATTTGTAATGCGTATAAAACATATATATGCCACCACAAAATAAATTATGACCCTTTTTAATTGTAGTATTTGATTTAGGCTTTTCTCTTTCAGTAAACAAAAGATTTTAAGTTCAAGATAGATAAAATTAAAGTGTACTGCAACCCCCCAAAAACTGTTAGGTAAGAAGACGACAACGCTGATCCGAGCAACAATCGACAACAACGACAACAAATGCAAAGACGACGACTACGACGACAAGTCTTCCGATCGGTTCTTTGTCAAAGGGATAAAAATCCCCGGAAATACACCCTATGGACCGTTTACATGGAGGTTAGGGACCCCAGGTAGGTGAGGTAACCCTGTTAGGTGGGGTAGCCCGCCTGTCCATATAATATTTCATATGGTCATCCAACCTATCATGAAAACGTAATCAAAATAAAATGAGAGTATATGGACAGTCGGGTTACCCCACCTAAGCAGGTTATCTCACCTACCTGGGGTCCCACACCTCCATGTAAACAGGCCCTAAGAATAAGTTAAGTCGACTGCCACGCTCCGAGGACACGAGGCTGGAGAACATTGAAAAAAAGGAAAACACGACATCCTGCCTGTAAGCATGTATGATTTATTGATACTCTAGTTCGTACATGTATCAATAGTTGGCCTGTTAACTATATAACCATTGCCTTGACCAATGCTTTCAAACCCTCGAACGTCTCCTCTCCTGTCGGGATAATTTGCTCCTTCGGAAGAAGGAAGCCGTAACGCCCTGTATCACGTAACTCCACCGAGAATGAGTACTTTACTCCCAGTTGTCCGTAGGTCCAGTCCTCCGAACCACCGCTAGCGGCATCTAGAAATCAGCAATAACATTTTATAACTTAGTGTGATTCTCGAATTCACCACTTTGGAATCAAGAAGGAGATTGGACCGAGTTAGCTTTCGCAAAGACTTCTGGGACAGTCGGCAGGGACCAATAGATGACCGGCGCGCCCCCAGTAACGATCGCAGAAAAAATAGCGGACACATTTCGGCTCAGGCATTTTCCTTCTCACTCCTTTTAAAGTAGCGAATGCATGTATCTCCTTTCTATCTTTATACGCTCGCAGGAATAAAATACATGATTACTATTCATTCAAAATATTTCTCTGTTACTGATTGGCTCAAATCCCGCTGCTTTTTCTTCAAACCACCTTGTTAAGACCACGTTTTGAAAGCATTTCCAGATATCAGCACGACTGACGTCACTCACAATGATATCGACTGTAAAGGGGACGCAAGGCGCGTTGGCTGTTTTTTAATAGTGCAGAGCTGGAGGAAACAGTGTTCAATGCGAAGACAAAATGGAAGAACTGCTGCTTTAACATGGAACGACTGGACGAATAACAGGTGCTATCTACTAGAATAAACATCTCGTCGTATTTATACGCTCAGAGAAACTACTAAGAAACAGGAAATGTTTTAAAGACGGGAACTTTACAATTAATACTTTTCTTACAGAGTAAAGCAGCAGACGACCCATACTGAAATCGAGTTCCATGCTTCCTGGTGATGGCTTCGGAGGCAATCCTAGCAACCCTCATCTGGCAACAAATTCAGAGGAAACATTTACAGGATTACAACGACATTTACAGACTTGGATAATTAATTAACAATTAATGAATGAGGCTGAGTATCTTATGAAGAATTATGGAGATCGAGGAGGGTGTTGGCCGAGGCGGATAACACCCTCCGAGATCTCCATGAATTCTTCATATGATACGAAAGCCGAATTCAATAATTGTTTTATTATTCATTCAAAATAATTTCTATTTTAAAAACATGGCTAACACATGCTTGCCTCCATCGATCCATCGATGTTAAGTTCACCTTCGATAGTGCAAGTTTAGGGTTGTCCAGCTCCGCAAATATTCTCCAAATAGCAGATGTCGCTCTTCGAGTTGTCTTCTTGCTGTTCTTGCCATGTTTTTAGTTATTTTTTCGCCTAGTTCTTACTCTTGAAACGAGTGAAATGTCCGCCATTTTTGTAAGTTCACAACCAAAACAACTCAACCTCGTCCCCAGGTCTTCTCGGTTAACAGTGCCTTAACCTGTAAGAACGCCGCATTTTTGACGTCATTTCCTCGTTAAACACAAAATTCTTCCAAATTTGGTCATCAGTAACTGGTTATGGTGAATTAAACGTGTGCTTTTAGCCAATCAGAATCGGGGAAATATTTTGAATGAATAATAAAATGCATTAAAAGAGTAGCTCCTAGTAGATAACCGCGGTATGAAGTCATAACATATTTAATTGCGTGAAAGGTTTGAACCCAGGAGTCATTTCATAACCAGGTTGAGCGTGATCGTCCAGGTAAATGTGGTCCTGAATAACAGTCTGAATAGGACTGTTGTTGACAGTGACTGCCGTTTCGACAACCTCTGCGGTAGTTACCTGGTACTTATATTAATTTTAATATATATCATACCTGCTCTTCGTGATCAGCCGTATCTCTTGCTGTGTATCCCCAAGGAATGAACCACATTTGACTGTAGGCATGGAAATCGATAAACCCTTTCAACTCTTGCAGTCGTTCCAGGTACCTGCGAACATTTCTGGTTTCTACTTCAGAGAAGGCCTTGGAGCCTCTGAATGTGCTATCACAAGGACGCCAACTTGCCCCAGCGCCTGGAAATAAAAACCGAGAAAAAGGTTTAAGCTTGACACCATTGTCAGGCAGGCATGCGCAGACACCGCAAAATTACAAAGCCGCTTTAAAGGGGTTGCCTAGCTCATTTTTCAATAAGCCATGAAAATTGCGAAATTACTTGTGAATGACAGAATCAAAAATCACAATAGCAATCCGCTTCCATCTTCTTCAAGTTTGGCCATCTGTGCTTCGCTTTTTGTATTTTCTGTGTCATTTATACCTTCTTTTAATGTTTTGAGCGTTTATTTTTATGTTTACTGAATTTGGTAGCAGTTTCTACCCTTTATTAAATTTTAATTTCAGAGGTGAAAAAAAACAGACGAATCTCTATTTCACGAAGTCCTTGGTATAACGAACGATTTTCTTTGCCTTAGTAATAGTAAAATATATGAAAAAGAACCTCGATATAACGAAATCTCGTTATAGCAAATGAATTTTGCCAGTTCGTTGGCTCTGTACTGTAACGTTAACAACAAAATATCTTATCATCCTACCTCCCCAGCCATATCCCCAGTTTCTATTTAAATCCACGCCATGACAACCGTAGCGCTCATGTGGGCGACGATTTTTCCTCCACAACCGATATCTTCTATTTCTCTATAACAAAAGAATGAGTGCAACCAGTAAAAAAAAAAAAAGGTAAAGGCTGAAAAAAGGAAAGAAAGACGAGCCAGGAAAGGCTCAACGTTCATACATCAAGTTTCTAAAGTACTTTAAAACACATTGACATAACTATTTGATATAGCAGGTTGGATTAAAGGCAGCCAGAGGCTTAAGAATAAGAAACGATTATGTTAATTAAATAATGTTGAATTAATCAATTGTAAGCATCAAGGAAATATAACTAAAAAAGATCATTACCGGGTCAATCCATGTGTAGGAATATCCATCCACATTGAAGACAGGTAGAATAACAAAGTCAATCTTATCCAACAACTGCGTGACTGAATCATCAGTACGATACCTCTGCGTCATCTAAAAAAGGACACAAAGATTAACAGGTACTAGATTAATTTTTTTATTAACCCTTTAAACCCTACCATCAAAATTCAAATTCTCATGTGTTATCCCTATACATTTTCAATAGAAGTACTGGGGAGAATTTGTTGAAGTATCAATTATATTCATCTTGTGTGATCATGTCCTTAATTCTCACGACCACACTGTTTTACAAAGCATTGATATTACAAGGAGAAAATTGATGCTGATCACTCCTAGGGCTTAAAGGGTTAAGTAGTTTGAATGTCACATCCTTACACTGATTGGTACCTGCTGACTCGTCCTCAGTCGTCTCTTGTCTTTCTCGTAAGCGGTTACAGAACGGTCGCAGGAGACTAGAACGGCACCTCGGCGAAAGGGACGATGGGAAGGATATAGCCCTTTTTCTCTCCTTTCCATCTGCCTCCTTAACAAGTGTATTCAATAAAGAGGAGAAGTGTGCCATGAGGTTGTCATAGGAGCAAAATTTCTGGATCTTAACAGACTTTCTTGACCGAGACTACCGTTTGCTTTGTCGAACTGTGGATAAAAAGTATGAGCTACCGTTTTGTTCCTCAGTAAAATCATGCATTGGAAGTTCTTACATGCTTTTCGTTGCTTTCTGCCATACTTGCAGGACCACGGTTTGTTGGAATTCAGAAATTTTGTTACCATGGCAACGTGACGTTATTTAAAGGTAAAAGGGATGATTAGAGATATGAGCCAGTTTGTACCTGGCTAAACTTTGGCCATGCGCCATAAATGTTAGGAATGTAAGAGACTCTACCTGGTCAATGATGTACATGCAGGTAGCTGGAGACACCCATTCCCTGGCGTGAATCCCACATTGAATAAAAAACACTGGCTTGCGTGAACTGTGACGTCCTCGTATCTACGCACAGATATGCAATTTTTAAGTTAAATACAGTTGTTGATCTCTGCTGTTTTAGATCAATAGTGATTTTCGGCCTTCAAGCTGCAAAAAAGTGGCCTTTTTGGCGTCTTTTCACTTTCTGCTGCAATTTTCGGTAGGTATATAAATCAGGCTAGATAGAGCAGTAGTGGATACAGATGTTCAGATAAGGGAGGGGGCCTGGTCCATCTAGACCCTGAGATAAGTGGGTGGGGGGTGGTATAAAAAACTTTTTTCGGCCCTTCTTGCCTCAGTTTAGTCTAAAGATAAGAGAGAGCAGGCCCCCCGGGCCCACAAGTGTACGATATCACATGGTTCACTTGAAAATGAGGCAAATACCTCGCGTGAAATCAGACGAAATTTTGATTCTGATACATCTTTTAAAACGCTAATATGGCGGCTACTAGTGCTGCCCCAACAACGATGCAAGCCAAATTTATAAGAACGGAGAAAAAATAAATGAGTAAAATACGTCTGTAAATCTCTGATCTGTCCTTTTCAGATATAATCAACTCGATAACGTACTAATATTGGCCAGTCAGAAAGTATATCGTAAGTAAATAAGGTCGACTATATAGTTTTCTTTATATGATCTAGCTTGAACTTGAGACTCACTTTAATAGCCAGCATGTCCTTTTTTTCGTGAGAACTGCCAAGTGATTCTACAGACGCCATGCTTCTGTACCTTCTTTGAACTTCATAAAGCTTTGAGTGAATCTATTAACATAATTATACAAAATTTTGTATTATCAGCTATATTCGTTAAATATATGAGTACGGGATCATTCTGGGTAACAGACCACCTACCCTTCCCCTAAGTCACAATTTTGCCTAAGTGAGAAGTGGGTGTTATGTTGGCTTAGGGGAGGGGTAGGTGGGCAGTTTCCCAGAAACCTCTCTGTAAAAGACCACCTAACCCTCCCCTAAGTCACAGGTTTGCCTTAAGCGAGACGTAAGTGTTAATGTTGACTTAGGGGAGGGGTAGGTGGGTAGTTACCTAGAAACCTCAATAGTACGTAAAACATATATTCGTTCTCTCATGTTACCTCCTCAAGGTTGTGATATTCACTGTGCCAGCTCCCAGAACGAACATAAACAGGCTGCAGTTCCTCTTCGATCAACTTTTGAACGTCATCGATTTGAATAGTGAACGCGATGCCATTGTCGTCCAGGAGGGAGGAGAGAGTGCCAAAATCTTCATCAGCGACTTCGATATCAACAGGCTGGAAAAGCTTGCTTGGCTCCGTCCAGAAATCAATCTACGGAATGATACACTAAATTTTGAAAATGAAATGTTTGCTTGTGGAATCCGGAATTCTAGGATTTGGAAACGGAATCGTGGAATATTGGAATCCGGAATCTAAGTTCCACAGATAAGGAATCCAGAATCCAGTACCTAAAATCCGGAATCCACAGTGAAGATCCAGAATCCAAGTATTTGTTAGATTACCAGTTACGTGGGGCGCATAGTTGCTGAGAAAACTAATTATAAACTCTGCATAGTTGACGCCGGAAACGAGAGTAAAACCTTAATTTCACTAACAAGTGCACTTTGAAAGTCCGGCTTGGTACAGCAAAATTGGAAAATATGACACAAGTTTACAGATAACGAAACCCCTTCGAGTTATTATACCTTAATGCCTTGTCCCTCTAATCCGTGCAAAAACTCCAGATGAGCTTCGAGACTAGGAGTAGAACGAATAACCTTCTCGCTGCAAAAAAAAAATTACCCGATGTTATCATCGCCATCATGATAATTTAAGCAGTTTCGGCTAAACAGTATTTCTGCAAAGTCGGCCGACACTATATCTGAGGCGTTGGCTGCCATTTCAGAAAAAACACAATTTGACATACATGGTATTGTTCCTCACGGATCATGCATTGCTCATTTTACTCTTAAAAGTGGCACAATGAAATATAGCTTGAGAGCAAAATTTCAAAAACCAACGAAAAAAAGATATTGGCACGATAATTCAATCCTCACCTCTCCGCAAAAAAGACTTGCTGAAATGTTAAGATATATACCGGCAGCCACCACATTTCGGCAATGCGATCGGAAACAAGAACAAATTAAATTAGAATTTTCATTGCCTTGAGCTTTTCAATTGAGGAGTGGCCCTTAAAGTTCGTTTCAAGTACTGAACATCTGCTTCAAGGCAATTGACATTATCTCGTGTGAAATTTATTTTCAATTAACAAATGTCCCGAAGAAGCAGCTATACCTACTTTTTTGCTTTATTTACAGAATGTGTTGTCAGTAGCCTTTTTTTTTCAGACATAAAGCTCTCTTATCGCACCGTCCAAGAAGCATCTGGTCAGGGTTTATTTGAACAGGTTTTTAAGGTGTATAAATGATCCTATATCACACTTTAAAATTGTTTCCCTCATAAAAGCTCTTGCTGACTCAAGCTGAATTTTGTGCAGTTTAGAAGACATGTTGTAGTTCATTTGAATAAAATATTGTATAAAATCCTGCAAGGGTTCCAGTTTTCGGTTTCCATTTTTCATTTTTGTTGGTGTGAATAGGGCATAAAAGCCGCCGGTTTTTATCAGTATTTTTGTTTGACCATGGAGGTAGCGCATTTCATTTTCCTCATGAATGCAAGCTACATGTCATCGTTTCTTTTCTTTCCCTTCCCCGCTTTTTTATCTTCTATTTCAAGGAAACTCGTACCCTTAGCGCCAAAAAGAAATCGGCCTTACAAAATCATTACTGCTGATTTGAGCGGGCACGTCAATGAGGAGACTGAAACGAGCAGCAAAGAGGTGCTGGCAACTAACCGAGGTACCTAGTGTGGGCTTCTGTGTTGTAGTCCGTCGTCGGACATGTCTTGCGCTCCACGCCCGCCTTGCGCCTAGCTGCCATCCCTCATTCGCCAAATAACGCCTGTTCTGTCTGTTCTGTAGGCTACTGTAGTACCAGTAGCCTGCGAAAACAGCCCGCCTTCCTCGCTCCTCGCCGCTAGCGGGGCCTTTTCCTAAAAGACTGTACTAGATTCTTATTTGACCTGATTTGGTGGGCGCAATAAAAAATCTTACAGTTAACTATGCTTACAGCTAACGTTTCAATAGTTTTAAGGTTTCTACGCCTAAAGACTATACTTCATAACAGTTCCACGAAACTATATACCAATGGTAAAAAAAAAAGAGAGAAGAATTATTTTCGCGTCACTGTTCGGAGTGAAGCCTGGGTACTAATCACTTCACAATTATCTCACAGTCGTCCTTCCACGGTTGTGAAATTAGCATGATCAGCTAAAATCATGCAGTTTTGAAACCGTTGTGTCGTAAAGTGGTCGTATACTGGACCATTCACGTTGCCGTTTAGAGCCTCAATTTACACAACACAAGAGGGCAGGCTCTTAAACAGACTGTAGGCGATCTCCACTTAGATTGAAGCAATCCCGCGGGAATAAAGTGAACGAAATGTTTTCTTCATGTAACTCCTTTCGAGGAAATCTTGTCATCCCAAAAGCTCGGCATCTTAAATGTGTAACGTCGTTTTGGAGATGGCAAAAAACAGAAGCGCGTCCGTTGGAAAACCGGGAAAGTTTCGACGATCTCAGCACAAAATCAGCTGAAAACACTGAACGCGAAGTGCGACCATTCAATGACATTCCTGCGCTCGAGACAGGCTTGACATCTACAATTCGATATTTTCGTGAAACTGAGGGTTTTACCAAAGTGTTCAAACTCTCCAATCAGCTGTTCACGAAACATGGTCCTATTTTCAAGGAAGATAGCTTTTTTGGCAGCCCAGCGGTACACATCATCGATCCTGAGGATTTTGAGAAAGTTTTCCGCTCCGAAGGAAGATATCCCCGCCGACCGCCAATGGAAATTTGGATTGAACATCGAAAACGGAGGGATTATTTTCCCGGGGTTTTTAATGCGTAAGTGAATGATGATACGTAAACAATATTTGTACCGGTCTAATTGGAGCTCTCTAAATACTCACCCTACCCCCATCACCAATCCACACCCCATTCTCGAGCACTCATTTCTGTCTCTCCAAGGTGGGTGGGGCTGGGGGACTCTCATATGGAAAGAACACGGATGCTTGTCGTATTGCTTAATTAACGGTGCAAACTGCAGATTTTGGTCACCCTTTGGGGTAGACTCTCTTTGGCAGCTCACATGCTCGACAGGATTCAAACAATCCCCTCCACCCCCACACGGCTGCCTCAGAGCGATGTACATTCCTTTCTTGAGCCCACCCTGGGCGGTAATGTAAAGTAGACTATCTTTGGGGTGGTGAGGATGGAAAGCTTGAATATGTAAGTTAATATGGGCTGAGTATTTAAAACTGCATGCTTTAATAGGAGCCTAATACTAACCCCACTCCACAAATCACATTGAGCATTACTATCTTTTCTGCTCATGTTAACCTGTGACACAGACGTAATCTAAACCGGGTTAGCAACATCTGTGAAACAGGGCCAATGCCCTCATTCTGGGCCCCCAAAGGTTTAAATTTCCCTACAAACTGATTGGTAAATTTATAGACAAATAATGGCTTTTTAACAGGCCAATCACAGTGGGTACTCAGATCTTTGAAAACTGTCAGCCTAACATCTTTCTTGGTACCACTGTAAGCCTGAATTATGATCAAAGGAAAAATGTGGCCAAATAATAATGTAAGATGAAGTATTACACAAACTCAGGTACTTTAACAATACCCCTTTCCCCAACCCCCTAGCCAATAATATTGTCCGACTATCAGTGAAATGTTTTTGAATGGGGTAGATATATATTGACGGTATAGAAGGAATAAATAATTGCTGTCTGAAAGTTCACCTGATTTATTTTGATATTATAGGGAAGGAGAAGAATGGTACCGGATTCGAAAAAGTATTGCCCCAAAAATAATGCGTCCAAAAATAATAGAGGAAAATATTGATAACTTTAATGCTGTTACCAAGGATACGGTAGCAAGGTTTGTTAAACTGAACAAAGATTGTGGACCATATGATCACATGCCTGACTTGGAAGGGGAATTGAGTAAATGGGCAACTGAAAGTAAGTTTGTGCTACTATACATATACACTAAAGCACCACTGAATAGTTTACACCCTTATAAGTCTCAAATACTGTCGTCTAATCTTACTTTACTGCTTCCTAGAATGCAATTTAGCTATGTGCTGCAAAAAAAAGAAGAAGAAGAAAAAAAGAAGAAGTTGGCACTTGATGTCTCACTAAATGTAGCAGTTAACCCTCAGGAAACCAGCAGATCTGTTTTCAGTCTGCTGCAGATCTGGTGACAAATCTGTTATAGATATGCAGATTCTGATAGTGTATAGATTTGTCTACAGATTATTTGCAGTTTATCCCTGTTTCACATGGTGGAGTCTAACAACAAGGTGGAATGTGGTAACCCGGTGTGTCCCTCCTCTAAATTAGCCACTGGCGCTCCATTTTGCTAAGAACTGAAGGGAGGGCTACCATACTCTCACTAAGAATGTTGGGATGGGAATGTGCTACTGGGACCCTGGAACTGTGAGCCTTTATACCAGATCTAAATTGGCTGAAGTTTGCTACCTTATACTAAACTAAACTCCCTAAATCCTCCTTATCCTAGACTTGTATTTTATATTTATTGATGCTATTTAAACTGAGTTGAGGGTTAAACATTGATTAACCAATTCATTTTTGTAAGTGTCAGTTCCCAGTTTTCGTGTATAGTCTTGACTAAAAGCCTCCACCAATTGCCCAGTTTCCTGAAAATGATACTCTGTTCTAGACCCAAACTTTATTTGCGATTTTTATACCATATTCCAGACCAAACTGCTTGAAAAACATACCCCTCACTCCGGCACTCACATATATAGCATGGGGTAGGGTGTGGGGGGCTAAAAAACCGTCTCTGTTATATATAGATTTTTTAAGTGAAAACCCAACTATTCCAAGGAACCACCCAATTAGAGTAAAACAAACACAAAATATCTAACTTCATGTGAATGTTTATTTAATTTTTTTTTGCCCAGGTGTTAGTACAGTGGCATTTGACACCCGTCTTGGGTTGTATGATGATTCGCCGCCACCGGAAGCGCTGCTATTTATCAAAGAGGTTCAAAACTTCTTTGCTCTTTCCCACAAGCTCCTTTTCAGTGCAGTAAGCAGGTTTGCTCGGCAGTACTTTGATACTCCTTTACTTAAAAGGTTTCTGAAGTGTGGTGATACTATCTTAGACATTGGACAGGGTTTTGTCGACAAAAAGATGAAGGAATTGAAAGAAATGACAGAGAAAGGAATTGATCCTTCTGATAACTCCCAAGGTTTGTTCTGTTGACTTTCTTGCACATAATTTTTCCCCTTGATTTTTACCTGTCACTTTAAATGACTATAGGGCTATTTTCGATGATTTCACCCAATTTGTTTGTGGTGATTTCTGTCCCCCAATGTATTTTTCCTTAAGTTTGTCATGATCGAGTGCCTATGTCATAGTAGACCAGAGGCTGTACTAACCATTGCCCACTTTTTTAGTAAAGACAAGACTCTAGGGGCATTAAGTCAAGGGGGAGGGGAGAAGATTTAGAGAGAGACCAGAGAAAAAGATCATGGACAGATATAGAATAGGGAAAAATAATTATTATTGTTTCTTCTTATTTCAAACTAGTTGTTTCAGTGTTAACGTATTTACTCACTAAAGAAGATCTGACTCTTGAGGAAGTAAATGGCCATGCTATTGACGTGGTAGCTGGGGGTGTTGATACTGTGAGTACTAAGTAGAATATTAAATTTATAGATTATTTACTTGAAATAGAACTGTATGTTATTATTATTTTTTAAGTAACATTATGATCTTAATAGCCATCATCATCGTCGCCGTCATCATTATCATCATCATCATCATCATCATCATCACAGGGGCAGATCCAGGATTTTTTTTAGGAGGGGGTGCACTCGTCTCTTGCTTTACTTCAACACCAATAAACCACATAGTTTTTTTTTTTTTTTGCAGAATACCAGTTGTATTAGAAAACCGCAGGTCATCTCAGGGGGCGGGGGTGCGCACCCCCTGCACCCTCCCCCTAGATCCGCCCCTGCATCATCATCATCATCATCATTTTAGTCGTCATCATTAACTTCATCGTCTTGTCATCTACTTTTTATCCTCTTGTGACTCTCATTCATTTGTAGATGCAAACATGTAAATGAGAAGGTACAACTAATTTTAGGTACACCTAATTGTGTAACGTGGGCCTGCCATATAAAATCGAGGTTGATTCAAGTCTATCCTAAACCTCTGGGCATAATATAAGAGTTTGGAAAAAGTACTGCCTAGGTGCTTTTATTTGGATGGTTCTTGTGCAACATAATAAACAGCACCACAAGAAAAACTGCTCCATAGCTTTCATTTCAAAGATCACATTTTACGCTGATTTTGTCGTCATATCCTAGGAGTCTAGCCTGCGAAGACGTTTTTCTGGTCGTCGCTTGTCTTCACCCGAAAATTTACACCCAAGCCTTGAAACCACCTTGAGCACCATAAGCCGGACCATATCTTTTCTTGTTCTAATTTAGTTTTTCAGAGATCTTTGTTTTGTTTTCTCTCTCGCCATACAGACATCAGTAACTGCCCTTTGGTGGTTATATAACCTGGCACGATTTCCTCACGTGCAAGAAAAAATCTATCAGGAGATACAGAGCGTTGTCGGAACAGACGGAGAAGTTACACCGCACAATCTTGCTAAGCTTCACTATCTCAAAGCGTCTCTCAAAGAATCCTTAAGGTAGACCTTTGTTAAAAGTACTCAGCATAAATTAATTTTTGATTTATTTGCATTGTTTCCTCCCTTTTTTTCCTGTTTTTGTTTTATTCCACCATCAAGCGTTAACAATGTTCAACATCGTTGCCTGAGGGCGTTGTCCTTCCTTGGAACGTCTCAGGTTGCACCAATGTTCAGCCCATAAGATCTCACAACTAATGTTTTGTGCATATTGAAATTATGGGGAATGTCAATGACGTGGTCTCCATAATCAGCTACTTTTTTTCACTTTATTAGGCTTATTTTGTTTGCAGAGGTGGCTAAATGCTTAAACATTTGTTCCTGCCAAAAGCCGGCATTTTCATGTCTTGTTAAATATGGGAAACCATTGTTATGTTAATGCAAAGTCAATAGAAGCTGGCAGTGGGTCAAACGTGTGATTCGAATACAATGTGGACGAAAACTGTTTGTTCCTTCAACCCTTTAAGCCCTTTTTATATGCTCATGCAAATTCTCTAACCTGATCTCCGTACATTTTCTTATTTTCATGTATTGAAGGTTAACACCTACTGCAGCAGGCCTGCAAAGGATACTGGACCAGGACATTGTCCTCTCTGGATACCAAGTCCCAGCACAAGTAAGTATACCCTAAAAGGTGAAAGCAGTGTTGATTTTCACCTTTCGTATACCTTTCATTGACAAATGGTACCCCTTTCACATATGGGTGAATACTGTTTAACCACTGTAAGTTTACCGTCTTTTAAATGTGAATTAACCACTAAGCCAGGAAGTTTTTTTGTTGTTGTTTTCCAGACCGAAATGGCAGATTTTTCTATCCTTTCTTATATTTCATTTGGTGAAATCTGTTGTCTTTCCCATACCTAAAGCCCTGAAAATAGTTACCCTTTCGGGCGGGGCCTTCCCGTGTAGGCCATGATATGGTCCTTCTTGCCTTTTTGACCCAATAGCATCTACTGAAAAAGGCAAGGCCTGGTAAGACGCCTAGACTGCGAGCAGTTTCTCTTTTTCTTCAGATTTAGTGAGGGGATACCCCCCGCGCGCGAGCTTCTCGCGCCTTCAGTCAAGCGCGTGGTTATTTACGTGTCTCGTGCGTTTCGCTCAACGGGCTAAGAAAAAAGAGAGACTGCTCGTAGTCTTTAAGACGCCTTACAGGGACTCAGCCAAACGTTTGCAAACGGAAGAAAACTGAAGAATATCGGACTCAATCGTTTGGACGTAGCGTTAGCGTGTAATGCCTGTCGGTGAAAAGTATGTCGGACACCGTAAAATTCCGAAAATAAGCCCCTCCATGTATAAACCCCTCCAAATATAAGCCCCCCGATCTGGTAACGCAAAAGACCCTCCGTTAAATCACCGCTCCAAATATAAGCCCCCGCGGACTTGTACTTGGAAAATTGCCCTTTATACTTCCAACTATAAGGCTAGCCCAATCGATTTTGAAACGCAAATTTCCCTCCGTAGATAAGCCCATCCGAATATAAGCCCCTCAAAAAGGGCCTTTGAAAAATATATTTATTTATTTTCGGAATTTTACGGTACTCTATATGTCCGCTGTCCGCTGACCATTTTGTTCGGTTTACAATGTTTCTTCCAGACCATTGTACTAATGGAATTCTTCTGCACTACACTCTCTGGAAAATATTATAAAGACTCTCTGGAGTTTCAGCCCGAGCGTTGGCTGAGAGAAAACAAAGACGAAAATCACCCTTTTTCCAATCTTCCGTTCGGATTTGGAACCCGTATGTGCCTGGGTAAGTGAATTACGTTAGCTTAAAACATGTTGGTTTTGCCTTTCTAATTGCCTTACACTATATATAAGTACACTGTAATTTTCAGGGAGTTATAATAACTCCTCTAGTGGGGCTAATTTAACTCCTTACAGTGGAGTTATTTTTCGTGGAGTTATTTTAACTCCAAAAAGGAGTTTAAAGAACTCTTTTTCAGGAGTAAAAGTGACCACAGATTTTGAGGAGTTAAAATAACCCCAAAAAAGGAGTTATCCTGTACCTAAAATTTTTACTCCACTTTCAGAGTTAAATTAACTCCAAAAAGAGTGAAAACAACCCCTGTAAGGAGTACAAGTAACCCCATTTCGGAGTAATTTTAACTCCACGACTGGGAGTAAAAAGAACTCTTTTTCAGGAGTAAAAATGACCCCAAATTCGGAGTTAAATTAGGAGTTAAAATAACCCCAAAAAAGGGGTTATCCTGTACCTAAAATTTTTACTCCATTTTTGGAGTTATAATAACTCCCTAAAAATTACGGTGTATATTATATATGTAAATTATTTTTATGAAATGTCATTTTTTATCATAGATATTTTTCATTAAAGAAAACCAGGGAGGAGCAGCGTGGAAGTCAACAGAAGTAAGTTTATTATTTATTTTATTTCTTGTTTTCTTTTTACTCGCTTTAGAAAGGACTTCCGGTTTTTTTTTTTTTTTGTCGAGGGGAACCGGTTCTAGTTTTGAAAGGTTCGAGTTTGCGCGGTATCTTTCTCCTTTCAACGGCTCTCTTCGTGAATGGAGAGGTTTTGATCGGAGCGTGTGCGAAACGGGGACTAATATGAGCCGAGTTTGGCAAGAAATTCTATTTCCACGGTTTGCAAAGTGCCTGGGACATCATTAAGTCCGGGAAGGCTTAAATGGGCGCTCGTTGCTCAAAGAACCGAGCTTCGGGCACAATCCGAGAGACCATCCGGTGGATGGTGTATAACGTCTCTGCCCAGCTCTGCACACCGTGAAGAAGTCTCCAGCAGGCAATAAGGGGCAAATTGGTTAGTTTGGACATAAGAAAAGAGGGCCAACGAAGTATTTGGCTGTGATTTTTGCCTTGCTGGAGACTTATAAATTGTGTTGTTATTGCCAGGATGTAATGTGTCCCGCACGAGTTGAACACGGATTTCCCAGAATGCACTGCGAGAAAGGTTAACAACATGTTTAATATTTGACCATTACAGTGAGACTGTTCTGTTGTTGTGTTTCAGTTTCTACGACGGAGGTGCTGATCTTTGAATAAGCGAGCAACAACGGTGAGTAGCAGGCTTTTTGCCAGGAAAGGTTATGTTACAAAGTCGTGAAAGTGTAGTTGAAGTCAAAGTCTGTGGTTTCGTATAGCGAAGGTTTATTTTTGGTCATGTGTCGAGCGACTCTGGAAATTTACTGTGTCCAAAAAGAGCCGCCGTCCTACTGCACAGGCTGAATTGTCGTTCATTTTCAATTTATTGTTGGCATTGCAAGCTAAATGCTGATCGGATCGCGGAAGAGTAACTATTTTTCCTCAAAGCATGTTAAAGTTCCCGCGCTATAGCACCGTCGCGACGACGAGCGCCGTTTATGCTTGATTGTCTGGAATGTTCGGTACAATGTTTTTAATCTGCTTTATGCACCGGTACGGGCGATTATAAAACCATTGCGGGACGAAACTGATCTAGGGAAAATGATGTAAAAGAGATATATTACTTTTTAAACATGTGTTGAGGAATTTTCTTTAAACAAGGTTTTCCTTTTGTCCTTTTCTTTCAGATGTGGCCGTTGGTTTTACTCGCCACCTCGGAGCTGGAATATTTACTCTCTGAAATGTTTATATTATCTGTGCTCTGCTGTGGTCAAACACGAAGAAAGCGAAGCGAAACGTCTTGTAAGATAACGTTAATTTAAAACTATTTGCTTGACCAGTGTTTAGTCTTCGAAAATCGCCTGTATTGAAACTACATCTCTGTATTTCTCACCTCCTGACCCGTCTTTTGAAATTCAATCCTACGCTCAGTACGGCGATGTAATTGATATGTAACGCAACGTTATTTGGTATCCTGCCCAGCAGTCCCTCAAACGTTAACCCTCAACAAACCGTACTTCTTGTTTGTAACCTTTATCCTTATTTAACCCTAAGCCTTAGCTCAACTTTAGCTATCCACCCCTAACCAGCTTAACGTAACACCCTTTTCCTGACAAGGCGAACGTTTAACTCAGTGGATCAACTCATGTGTTATGACCATTGAAATCAGTTGAGACTGCTCGTCTAACCCTAACCCTCCAACCTAACCCTAACCTCCAACTTAACCCTAACCTATTCCTAACCCTAACCTCCAACCTAACCCTAACCTATTCCTAACCCTAACCTCCAACCTAACCCTAACCTATTCCTAACCCTAACCCCCAACCTCGACCTAATCTGATTCTAACCCTAACCTATCCCTAGTCCTTACCCTAACCTAACCCTAACCCCAACCTTAACCTTAACCCTAAAACCCTAACCCTAACTCTTCCTCCCCCTCCCCCCCCTGCTCTTACATTTAGTAGTATACAGTAAGGACTAAGTAATAGGTGCTTTTCGAAGTTAGCCTCAAAAGGCTCTTATAAATTTTCTGTTTCTTGAAATTAAGTTGTTTAGGTTCTCAAACATTCAAGGTTCTTATTTTCTTAAGGAAAAAAAGACTTTTGTAAGAATGTTGGAGGTTTTAAATGTTTGTACAAAATATGCATGTTGTTATGTCTAAATGACTGCAATTTAAGCCAATAGAAACTTTTTTTGCCATTAGAATGATTAGTGGACTTTAAGAACTCCATAGCGATCTGTTTTAACATTTCTACTTCATCTGGTTCTTTCAAAATCTTAGCCTGAAGAATTCTGGTTCTTATCTGTGCCTCTCCTCTGTGTCACTAACCTGACATAATAATGAGTGACACGTGCATGTTTCACTGTACAGTATTTTTCAGATGAAATAAAATACTGATTTGGATTGTTTTTGTTGTATTGGGGGTAATTAGAGACTTAGTGAAAACTATACACTGTAATTTTCAGGGAGTTATAATAACTCCTCTAGTGGGGCTAATTTAACTCCTTACAGTGGAGTTATTTTTCGTGGAGTTATTTTAACTCCAAAAAGGAGTTTAAAGAACTCTTTTCAGGAGTAAAAAAGTGACCACAGATTTTGAGGAGTTAAAATAACCCCAAAAAAGGAGTTATCCTGTACCTAAAATTTTTACTCCACTTTCAGAGTTAAATTAACTCCAAAAAGAGTGAAAACAACCCCTGTAAGGAGTACAAGTAACCCCATTTCGGAGTAATTTTAACTCCACGACTGGGAGTAAAAAGAACTCTTTTTCAGGAGTAAAAATGACCCCAAATTCGGAGTTAAATTAGGAGTTAAAATAACCCCAAAAAAGGGGTTATCCTGTACCTAAAATTTTTACTCCATTTTTGGAGTTATAATAACTCCCTAAAAATTACGGTGTATATTATATATGTAAATTATTTTTATGAAATGTCATTTTTTATCATAGATATTTTTCATTAAAGAAAACCAGGGAGGAGCAGCGTGGAAGTCAACAGAAGTAAGTTTATTATTTATTTTATTTCTTGTTTTCTTTTTACTCGCTTTAGAAAGGACTTCCGGTTTTTTTTTTGTCCGAGGGGAACCGGTTCTAGTTTTGAAAGGTTCGAGTTTGCGCGGTATCTTTCTCCTTTCAACGGCTCTCTTCGTGAATGGAGAGGTTTTGATCGGAGCGTGTGCGAAACGGGGACTAATATGAGCCGAGTTTGGCAAGAAATTCTATTTCCACGGTTTGCAAAGTGCCTGGGACATCATTAAGTCCGGGAAGGCTTAAATGGGCGCTCGTTGCTCAAAGAACCGAGCTTCGGGCACAATCCGAGAGACCATCCGGTGGATGGTGTATAACGTCTCTGCCCAGCTCTGCACACCGTGAAGAAGTCTCCAGCAGGCAATAAGGGGCAAATTGGTTAGTTTGGACATAAGAAAAGAGGGCCAACGAAGTATTTGGCTGTGATTTTTGCCTTGCTGGAGACTTATAAATTGTGTTGTTATTGCCAGGATGTAATGTGTCCCGCACGAGTTGAACACGGATTTCCCAGAATGCACTGCGAGAAAGGTTAACAACATGTTTAATATTTGACCATTACAGTGAGACTGTTCTGTTGTTGTGTTTCAGTTTCTACGACGGAGGTGCTGATCTTTGAATAAGCGAGCAACAACGGTGAGTAGCAGGCTTTTTGCCAGGAAAGGTTATGTTACAAAGTCGTGAAAGTGTAGTTGAAGTCAAAGTCTGTGGTTTCGTATAGCGAAGGTTTATTTTTGGTCATGTGTCGAGCGACTCTGGAAATTTACTGTGTCCAAAAAAGAGCCGCCGTCCTACTGCACAGGCTGAATTGTCGTTCATTTTCAATTTATTGTTGGCATTGCAAGCTAAATGCTGATCGGATCGCGGAAGAGTAACTATTTTTCCTCAAAGCATGTTAAAGTTCCCGCGCTATAGCACCGTCGCGACGACGAGCGCCGTTTATGCTTGATTGTCTGGAATGTTCGGTACAATGTTTTTAATCTGCTTTATGCACCGGTACGGGCGATTATAAAACCATTGCGGGACGAAACTGATCTAGGGAAAATGATGTAAAAGAGATATATTACTTTTTTTTTTTTAAACATGTGTTGAGGAATTTTCTTTAAACAAGGTTTTCCTTTTGTCCTTTTCTTTCAGATGTGGCCGTTGGTTTTACTCGCCACCTCGGAGCTGGAATATTTACTCTCTGAAATGTTTATATTATCTGTGCTCTGCTGTGGTCAAACACGAAGAAAGCGAAGCGAAACGTCTTGTAAGATAACGTTAATTTAAAACTATTTGCTTGACCAGTGTTTAGTCTTCGAAAATCGCCTGTATTGAAACTACATCTCTGTATTTCTCACCTCCTGACCCGTCTTTTGAAATTCAATCCTACGCTCAGTACGGCGATGTAATTGA